GATAATATTTATCCAACCAAAATTTAGTAATCAATAAATTATTTGATCTTGTAACTATGAGCTAATTTATTTATTAGATAAGGTATTTCATCATTTTAATTAAATTTGAAAGATCTATTTCTTATTTCGCTCTGAATAGAAAAATGACTAAAAAATATTTTAAAAGATTCGCTGTCTAATCATATATTTTATTATTTTGTTGAGAGAAAACTAATTTATTTAAAAATTTGTAGCCTTTTTTTGATTTTATTTTAATATGTCAATGTATGTGGTATTGATTCTTTTATCCTTTCTATTTATTTAGGATTTTTAGTTATGTATAATATCTATTTATAAGTGATTCTTAAGTTAATGTATGTATGGTATTACTTTTTTTAATAGTATATTTACAGAATTATATATATACATACAATATTATTTATTATAAGGGTGCAAGAATAAATCAACTAAAATTTACTTTACTATTGGTAATTGTTTTTTAATTTTATTGAATAATTATGAATTTTAAAATAATTTTAGTAGATATATTTTATTTAGCATAATCAGAAAGCATTAAAAAATTACTTCAATTTATTTGATAAATGTGTACTTTATACTGTAGTAAATCTACTTTAATTTATAAGAATTTGAATTCATATTTGGAAATTTATATGTTTAATGTATAGATTTTGTTTATTATATAAAAAGTTGTAAGCTATATTATTAGAGAAGAAAAAAGAGGATAAATGATTAATTAATGATGTTTTGAGTATGTAAGCTAATTATTTGAGTAAATTTTTCTTTTTCCACATTAATTAATTAAGTAACTAAATAGAAGTCAAAGGAATTGTTTTATTGTTACTTTGAAGAAATTTTAATTAAATATATCAAAACTAAACCTTATTATTTGTTTTAATAAATTCAGAAAGTCTCCAAACAACTCAATTCATATTAATGCATATTTTTTTATTAAAAATTAGATTAGTTTAGATAGTATTCTGTCTTTTTATAACAGAGTTGTTAGCTTAATTATTTTTTGATGAGTAACATTTGATGATTTCAATTTTTAATTGAAAAATTTGTATGCTTCTCTGTTTTAATAAAAGATTTTTACAAACAAAACAAAAACACAAAAGTTTTCAAAAATTGAATTGGATACTTTTTAAAGTAATTTTTATGATTTTTAATATAAAAACAAAATTATTTTCTTTTGCATTTTTGTTTTAAATACATTTTATTTTTATGCTTTAAAATCTGTTTAAAATCTGCTAGAAAACTATACTAAACTAATTTTTCATTTAAATAATTTGGAGACTTTCCGAATATAACAGAGTTATTAGCTCAATTACTTTCTTGAGGATTAATATTCGATTATTTCAATTTTAATTCAAAATTTTGCTTGCTTCTTCCCCTTTAATAAACACTGTTTTACAAACAAACACATAATAATTTTCAAAAAATTGAAAACTTTATAAAATAATTTTTATGATTTTTAATTTAATTTAAAAAAATATTATTTTTTGTTGCATTTTTGTTTGTATTTTATTTTTTTAAGCTTGAAAATCTGCCCAAAATATTTACTTTCAATTTATATATTGGTGGGGTTTTTTTCATCGCAAAACCTTTGGTATTGCTTTGTTTATAAATATTTAATATTCGCTTGAATTAATGTAAAGCTATTTTATTGTAACTATGAAGAAAATTTTAATTAAATACTAAATCTTATTATTTGTTTTATAAAATTTGGAAAGTCTCCAAAAAACTCTATTCATTTAAAAGCAGATTTTTTAAATTAAAAATTAGATTAGTTAGTTAGTTAAGTATTCTGTAATAAATATCTTTTTATAGCAGAGTTATAAGCTCAATTACTTTCTTGAGCAGTAACATTAGATGATTTCAATTATAATCGAAAAATTTGCATGCTTCCTCACTTTTAATAAACGTTGTTTACAAACAAACAAACAAACAAACAAACAAAAACATAAAAGTTTTCAAAAAATCGAATACTTAAAAAAAAAATTTATGATTATTAGTTAAAAAAAAATAATTTTCTGTTGCAATTTTGTTTGTATTTTATTTTTTTAAACTTTAAAATCTGCTTAAAGGTTTTACTTTCAATTATTATAATGGTTTTTTTTCATCGCAAAACCTTTGGTATTGCTTTGTTTATAAATATTTAATATTCGCTTGAATTAATGTAAAGCTATTTTACTGTAACTTTGAAGAAAATTTAAATTAAATACTAAATCTTATTATTTGATGTATAAAATTTGGAAAGTCTCCAAAAAACTCTATTCATTTTACTGTAGATTTTTTAAATTAAAAATTAGATTAGTTAGTTAGTAAGTTAAGTATTCTGTAATAAATATCTTTTAATAACAGAGTTATTAGCTCAATTACTTTCTTGAGGAGTAACAAACATTAGATGATTTCAATTTTAATTTAAAAATTTGGTTTACAAATAGATAAAAATTTTCAAAAATTTGAATACTTTTTAAAATATTTTTACGACTTTTGAAATAAAAATAAAATTATTTTCTATTGCATGATTTTTAATACATTTAGTTTTTTTACACTTTAAATTTTGCCTAAAGTTTTTACTTTCAATTAATATATTAGCTTTTTTTTAATCACAAAATCTTTGATATTGCTTTGTTTATAAATATTTAATAAACCCTTGAATTAATCTAAAGTTGTTTTTGTTTTACTTTTACAAAATTAAATATTTTGATTTACAGTAGTTTCAATGTTGATTTAGAGTTACCAAAATTCATTTATATATAGATTAAAAAATAAATTAAAGTTTATGCAAATCCATCAATTTCTGTACATATATACAAATTCTATTTTTTATCTTATTTGCTTCTTTTGATGTAATTGCTTTTTAGTAATTTACTTAAAAAATTGTTTACTTAAGCAAAATATTTTATGATTTTTCCAACAAACATATCATATTTTTAGAAAGATATGCTTATCATTTAATGGGATCAAAATCCATATATTAAAATAAGAAATTATAACTGATTTTGAATAGTTAATTAGCATCAAGAAAATTATATCTTTTATACGAGTTTTGAAAAATCCCTTTTTAAATGCTTTTCTTAAAAAATAAATATCTAAGTTGAATAATCAAAATCTAATAATCAGAAACATATAAATATGCAAATATAAGAAAAGAGTCAATAAGGCATCTCATCTAATTTTCATGAATTTACTTGTGTTAAAAAATTAAAAAAAAATAGTTTTTATTATTTATTTTGTAGAATGCTTGGTTACTTAACAAACATATCAACTAAGTGAGTATTTCAAATATTATTGTTTTAATTGAATAAAAAATAATTTATAAAAACGAATAGTTGTAAACAAAATGAAAAAATGTAAATAATAATAATTTATGAATCTATTAATTTACACTCATTCATATTTAATTAAAATTATGGGAAAAACAATAACTGTAATGAACAATTTTAAAATTCATTTCTTTGTGATAACCAAATATCTTTAAACTTTTAATATAAAAAGATAAAATTTATTGATGAAAATCCTAAAGTTTTCTCTGAATTTCATTTTTTGGTTTCAAAAATACATATCAAATTGAACTCTTTTCTTTTTCAGAGATAAAATAAATCACAGTTATAAATTATCTTATTTTATCTAAAGGATGTTATTTTAAATAAGAAAAAACAAACAAGATGAATTCTTTTTTACGTTTTATATGTTTTATAACTGTTATATTTATATAAGAATACTTATATTCCTATGTAATAATACTAAAATATTTTACAAAATAGAATATAAATATGAATAAAATATGACTTTGAGTTATAGGGTAAGTTTTTTTATTTTTGAATCTTGAATATCAACCATAAAACTTAAATTAAATTCAACGGGTAATATTTATATTAATATTGAATTTAAATTAATTTGTTTCACAGAATTATTCATCAATTTTTTACATTCAAATATTCAACTATAACAATCTAACCCTATCAAACTCATTTCAAAGATCTTATATTTTTTTAAAAATTAAAATATGTAAACAAAGTTTTAGAAAATCTGAGAATTTATTTTAAATTTTTGGAAATTTTTAATATTATTAATTTGAATAAATTCATACTATATAATTAAAATGTTTTATGTGATCTAGATGGAAAATTTATTAATCTCTTCAAGAATATTCTATTTTTATGTATCATTTTATTCATTTTTTAGGATTGCTTTTACTATTAAAATATTTTTAATCAGGTAAGAGTATGATTTAATAAATAAATTACTCAACATTTGAAAATTAAATTACAATTAATAAAAGAAAATATAGTTAGCTAGCTGATCATAAGGAGTGAGCTTATTAAATGAGTGATTCTTAGTTAATCTAGACTTTGTAAATTTTGATCTATTTCACACTTAAATTAATAGACTTTATAGTTAATTACAAAAATAATATAATAGATGATGAAAGATATTTTTTAAATTTGATAGGGTAAGGTATCAAAATCAAAAATTATTAGCTCATTTATTTAGTTTTTATAGCTAATAACGAATTTATTCAACCAACTCGCTTTTCTGGCTTAAGAAGCTTATGAAATTTTTGTTATTTAAGGTAAACATGACTATAAAAAATCCTTTTTATTTTCTTTTAAAAAATGTTATTTATAAACTTACTTTTTATTTTTATTAATGAAATAGCATGCTTTTACTTACTAAATAAAAGTGTACTACAATACTACTTACTACTTATGTTATAAAATTTTATATAAATTAGTCAACCCCTGATTTATATCCATTCATAATTTATAATTTAGAATGCTCATTTTAACTTGTTTTCTTCAAATAAATTAATTAAATATCATACATATATACATACATACCTTCATAGACTTTATTATATTTTAGAAGAAAAAAATTAAATTAAGAAATTTTATTGTCTGTATCTTTCTTTATAAATACCTAAATCAAACAACCTCTTTTCATAATAATTAATTAATTAAAAAGAAAACAATAAAAACAAAATTTTAAGTAAAATGACTATTTTAAAGTTATTTATTGCCTCACTTTTAGTAAGCTAAATATTCGCTACACAAGGTGCTGATGTTGCTTGCACTAGTTCGTCATGCGCAAATTCTGGAGTTTGCCCAGCTGTTCCAACTGCTCCTACTGGTTTGAACTGGGTAAATGGTAGTAGTGGAAATTGTGCCATTAATTCATGTCCTGCAAGTACTTCATCAGGTCTTACTGGTGCTTCTGATCTCTTCTGTAAATCTTGTCCTGGAACTGCTAATGGCTCAGTTCAAGCCGTCTTTGCTAATACTGCATTAACTGGTTGTGTTGCTGCAAGTGCAACTTGTGGTAGTACTAGAACTGCTAATTAATGGACTAATGCCGATTGCCTTGCCTGTAATGGAACTAGCGCCTAATATGCTAAGTCTGATAAATCTGGTTGCCAAGCAACAGCTTTTTCGTCAATTATAATTTTGAGCTCAGTTTTATTTTTAATTTCATTCCTTTTCTGATTTTTATATGTCTGAATTAAATTCATTCAAAAAAAAACAGATTTATTATAATACTTATTTGATTGTTAGCTCAATATAGTAAAGTTCTTACTTAACCTTTATATTATATATGTATGCTGATTTGATTGAAAAGTATTATAATACATTCAGTTAATTAAAATAAAATTTCTTTTCTTTTAAATTCTTTTTTGCTTTTCTTTTCTCATAAACATATTCTTTTCATTTTTAATTATTTATCAAAAAATATTATTTAATATTTATTATTTCACATACATACCTTTTATTAAAATTTTTTTTAATGCATTTTAATCACTTTTTTTATTTTAGAGACTTTTTTATTTTATAGAAAAAGTTAAATTTATATATTATGAATAATTCACTAATTATCTCGCTCACAAGCCAGAAATATATATTTAGTGGTAGACTCTTCTTAAAAAGCTTAATTTATATTTTTATGTATAAAATCTAATATTTTATTAAGTACACAGTAAATCTGATGAAAAAGAGAGTAGTTAATAGCTTTAATACAAATAAATTAAATATTTATATTTAAATGCAATAGATCATCTTTATATGATAAATTAATACTGACCTTTATCATCCATTTATTATTTTTTATGTTTGAAATAAAATACAAAATTATTTTAAATAAAAATAAATAATAATTTAAAAATATTCAACAACAAAAAAAATAAATATTTCTTTGATTGAATATTTAAAATACTTATTTATTTATTAATCACTCATTCATTATACATTCATTTCATAAATATTTTTTGCCTCCAACTTCTTAAAAAAAAGTTGTAAATTTTTTATATCACTTGTAAACTCATGAATGTATTTTTAATTAATTAATAGATAAGATTTCCTCAGAATTTGCAAATTGATAAATTATTTGATCTTCTAGTTATGATCGAATTTTTACTTATCAGATAAAGTCTTAGATAATTTGAAAAATGTATTCCACACTTCATTTTGAATAGAAAAATAACTAAAAATTATTATAAGTAAATTGGCTGTCTTAAAATATTTTTAATTTTTTAAGTGAAAACCACTTTATTTAATAATATCTAGTCTTTTTTGTATTTTATTTTATAAATTTATGCGAATTTGATTCCTCTATCTATCCCTTCAAAAATATTAAAAAAGCTAATAAATATTTTTTCATAAAGAAATATAACAAACTCTCATTTAGTTAGGTATAATATCTATTTATAATAGATTTTAAAGTTTATTTATGATATTTTTTTTTTTTAAATTATATTTATAGGATTATACGGATTGTCAAAAACAGTTTAAAATTAGAACTTTTTTTCTTTTCAAGCTTACATATATCTAAAAAGTGAACTAATCTTATCTAAGAATAATAACTATTATTTGGTAAAACAAAAATTACAGTAGTTAAGCTTAAAATCAACTAAAATGAAAAATCAGATTATTTGTAATATTTTGTTAATTATGCTTTTTATTTATATATATATATATAGGGTTGGGTCAGCAAACCCAGCCATTTTTTAAAAATTAAAAAAGCTTGATCTGGCTTTTGCACGAAATAATACATAAAATTGGACAAATAATTTGTCACGCTTTGCATTGCGAATATCTATTATATCATCTAAATAACTAAAATACAGAAATTTGAAGAAATCTAATATTAATTAATTGATTATTAAAATAGAAAATATCTTTTTTATTTACTACTGTTTTCTACGAATGAAAAAAACTAAGATTACATTATTTAATTTGGGTATAAATAAATATCAAAAATTAATATTAAAATATCTTTGTTACATATTTGAAAACATACAAGTATAAATTCAAAAAATATATTTTAAAAAGTAAACAAAGGTGTTATAATATTAAAAGAGTAATAATAACCTATTATTTTAAGAATTGAATAATTTAATTAGTTACTAATATACACGGGTAACTACATTTTTAAATTTAGTAAATTATGTGAAAAGTATAAATAAAAATATTTAGTTCTAAATAACATATGTTGAATTTTTTATATTTTATACTTTCAGTAGCTTCTAAAGCTAATTTAGATTGATTAACAAATATATTTAAGTAAAATATAATGATGAATTTGTAAATAGTTTCTGAAGCTGAATTCATAACTTTGAAGAAAAAAATCAAATTATTTATCTGAATAAATACATATTTTACTATTAAAAAATATAATTATTTTTTTCACTTCCTTTCTTGTAAGTGCATTAAATTTGAATAATATATCTTCCATAGCTTAATCATTGTTGAAGACTTAAAATTTAGCATAGTGACTATTTAAAAATACAAAAATTTAAAATAAAAGGAATAGTTAATTATCAGTGAATATGAGATAAAAATATAAGTGACTAATTTTTGTTACAATCAAAATAGAAGTATAAAGGGAGGGGATAATTATCTTGTTTTTAGTTGATTAAGTTACTTGATAATATAATAATGACAATTTATATTTGTGGATAAGTTAATTAGAAATGAATACAGCAATATCAAAATCTAATTTTCCTTTTTAAGCACAATTGATTTTTAAAGGTCTTAAAATATTAGTATCTTTGATAACTGATTAACCAATAAAATACAAAACCATTTTAATTTTTATACTGTTTCAAGAAATCTATCTATCTTTAATCTAAAAAAATTCCTTTTTTTGCTAAAAACAACATATAAATATCTGAGCTCTATAATTTAAACCTTTTTCTTGATTTTAAAAAACCAAAAAATTATATTTTTAAAAGCAGAAAAAATATATATTTAATAAAGTATTAATTAGATCAAGTTTTTCTTTTTAGAAAATTTCTATTTTCTTAATAAACTCCTCTTAAAATGCTTAATTTATATTTTTGCGTATAAATCTAATATTTGATTAACTACACAGAAAATTTGTGGAAAAAAAGAGTGGCTAATAGCTTTAATACAAATTGATCATTAAAAAAACAGATAATCTTTATGCGAAAAATCTTATATCCAATTTTTTAGGTTTATGAAAATTAATACTGACCTTTATCATTTATTTATTTATTTATTTATTACTTTTAATGTTAGAAATAAAATAAAAAATGATTTTAAATAAAAATAAATAATAATTTATAAATATTAAAAAATATTTAATATTTCTTTGATTGAATATTAAAAATGTTTATCTATCTATTTATTAATCATTTATTACACATTCATTTCATAAATAATTTTTGCCTCGAACTTCTTTAAAAATAGTTGTAAATTTGTTATATTACTTAAAACTCATAAATTTATTTTTAATTAATAGATGAGATTTACTCAAATTTTACACATTCATTTCTTAAATATTTGTTGCCTGAACTAATTTATCAAAATTTGTAATTTTTATTATTTGTAAACTCATGAATGCATTTTTTAATGAATAGATAAGATTTACTCAGAATTTAGAAATTGATAAATTATTTGATCTTCTACTTATGAGCTAATTTGCTAATCAGAAAGTATTAGATAATTTGAATTATTTTTGAATGATCTATTCTCTACTTCATTATGAATAGAAAAATGACTAAAAAATGTTTTAAGTAAATTCTCTGCCTTAAAATACATTTTATTTATTTAAAGAAAACCAATTTATTAATAAATTGTAGTATTTTTTGTATTTTACTGTTATAAATATTGCGATTTGGATTCCTCTATCTTTTCCTTCAAAAGTATTAAAAAAGCTTATTAATATTTTTTCATACAGAAATACAACAAACTCACATTTAGTTACGTATAATATATATTTATAATAGATTTTAAAGTCTATTTATGATATTTTTTATAAAAAAAAATATATTTACAGGATTATACGGATTGTCAAAAACAGTATAAAATTATACATTTTTTTCTTTTCAAGCTTAAATATAATTAAAAAGTTAATCAATCTTAATTAACAATGAAAAAACCAAAATTACAGTACCTTGAAATCACCTAAAGCTATGAAAAATCAGATTATTAGTATTATTTTGTTATTTGTACTTTTTATTTATATATAGTAGTATTGTTATTTAATTCTAAAAACTCTAGTTGAACCAAGCCATATCTTTATTTTAAAATGCTTGAATTGGGAAATGTCAATAATAACTTCTAAAATTGTGGTAGTATTAATTTAACAAATACAATAAATATTACAGAATGTATTTAAAAAATAATAAAGATAAAAAGATAGGAATTTCTTTCTACAATTTAATAGAATTTAAATAAAAATTATCATATTTAAGTTTCAAAACCTGCCATTTGTAAAATAATATATGCATGATAAGGGTTTCAAATTTTAAAAGGAAAATATCATTCATAGCTTAGCAAATGAGCAAAAGGAGAAAAGATTAAAATTTTGTAGCACAAAGAAAACAATTATCTTAAGATTATTTATCTTGGCATAGAAATATTTATTGCCATACAATTTATTTAATTCTTTCTACCAGAATTTATTAAGTTAAATTAATTTATATTAACCTTTAAGGTTACGTATTTACTTTGAAAAACAATAAGCTTTTATTAAATTTTGAAAACTTAATAACTAACTAACTAACTAACTATCTCCTTTACATCAAACTTCAAAGAGTAAAAATAATCAGTCTATCTGTTAAAATTTTGTTTAAAAACTCTAGGACGGAGGGACAACCAAATTTAATATTTTATAATTATTAATAAAAAAATATTAGAAATCATTATTAAAAAAATGAATAAATTATTATTACTTACAATTTTCTTAGGTATAGTTGGATATTGCACTGCTTTAGATTGTGCTACCGGTGCTTCTACTCAAGACAATATCACCTGTTATTGTGCTCATGGATATTATGGTACTGATGCTTCAAAAGGTTAAACATGCTAAAGATGCCCTGATAACTCTACATCTACTTCTGGTTCAGCTAACACCGGTCCTGGTATTAATATTGGAGCTTGCAATTAATGTGTTAATGGTTACTATGTTACTGCTGTTGCTAATACTGCTAGTTCCGGAACTGCTGTTTAATGTTAATAGTGTCCTGCTAACTCTACAACTTCTTCAGCTATGTCAACTGTTGGTTTTTGTACTTGTTATGATCCTAATGCTGCCCCCTTAAGCTCATCAGTTACTACTTGCGCTTGCAAAAGTGGATATAAGGGTACTCCCACTACAACTGCAGGAAGTGCTTCAACATGTGTTGCAAACTCTGTTATTCTTAGCATTTTTGCTGCTTTATTATCTTTAGTTTTCCTTTTTTGAAAAAAATGGACATTTAAAAAAATACTCTATTAAAATAATCAATTTTTTTATTGCCTGTAATTAATTTAATTTTTATGTTTTTATTCAGATGATTTGAGAATTGATAAGAAGAGTTTTAATAAATAATTTCCATTAAATATATGATATAATATTAAGATTATTATTTTTTAAAATTAAAATATTAAATAATTTTACTATTTTATTTTTTTATTTTTTGAAATTCAATTCCACATAAATTATATTAACAATCTTTAACATTAGGATATTATGTATTTATTTTCTAATTTTTCCTTTTCCATCATTCAGGCTTTTTAATAAACTTTCCTGGTAAATATTGAATAAATCAAAGAGAAGAAGGAAGAAAAATAGTAAACATATTTTAACTTAATTTTTGAGAATATGAAAAAAAAATTACATTAAAATATGTATTGAGAAACTTCAAATAAATATGTTTGTTTTTACCTACCTTTTCTTTTATTTACAAATCTTATTAATTTTTAACTATTGACTCTATTATTAATAAATTAAATATGGAATCAATGAATGAGTTTTAATAATCAAAAAGAAAAATTGTTTTTTGTATTTTATTTAAAAGTGATAAATATGTTTCAACTTTTTATCTTCCTTCCTTCAATATTTCATTTCTGGTTATTAAATTAAATTTATAATTTTAAAGAATAAAAATGGTAGAAAGATAATTGACATATAAATATGCTAATAAAATACAATAACCAAATAAGCTATCATTCTTATTTTTTATTAGATTTTATTAAATTTTGAGCAGTCAGTTAAAAATAATTTGAGTCACTAAGAAACAAAAAAAGAAATGAAGAAATCAAAAGAAAATTTGTGATGACTAATTCAGTACAATAAATATTACACAAAATATCTTTAAAATACAATAATTTTTTATCATTTCAAATAATATTTAAAATGTACTTGTTTTTATCTTAAATTTGTGCATAAATCTTTAAATCTAAATTCTATTTATTTTGGAGATTTACTATGTATATTTATTTATATATAATAGAATTTTTACTTAGTTAGTTAGTTAGTTAGTTAGTTAGTTAGTTAGTTAGTTAGAAACAGGTTGAAACAATAAAAGAAAATATATGAATATTAATAAAAAAATATCTTGATTAAGAATAAATATATGCAACAAACAAAACCATATTATATACTAATTTTTAAATTATCCATAATATTGTTGATTTTTATGCAATAGATTCAAAATACAAACGACAAATATAAAATTTAAAATATAAAAGTTCTTTTTAAATTTACACATAAAATTTAACAAATAATTATTTTTTTCAATTAAGTCGCGTCCTGTTGCCAATATCTATTATATCATACAAATAACTTAAATACCAGAAATTTGAAGAAATAAAATATTATTTAATTAATTAATTGATCAATAAAAATAGAAAATATCTTTTTTATTTTCTACTGTTTTCTTCAAATGAAGACAAATTAGATTATATTATTTAATATGAGGATATAATAAATACCAAAAATTAATATTAAAATATCTTTGTTACATATTTGAAAAGATACAAGTATATATACAAAAAATATATTTTAAAAAGTAAAGAAAGGTTTCATAATTAATTAAAAGAGTACCCTTTTATTTTAAAAATGGATAATTTAATTAGTTAGTAATATGTACAGGTAACTAAATTTTTTAATTTATAAATTATGGAAAGAGTATAAATAAAAATATTTAGTTTTAAATAATATCTGTTGAATTTGAAATATTTAATACTTTCAATAGTTTCTAAAGCTAATTTAGATTGATTAACACATAGTGACTAATTTTTGTTACAATTAAAATAGAAGTATAAAAGGGATAATAATATTGTTTTTATCTTATTAAGTTACTTGAGAATTTAATAATGATGATTTGTATTTGTGAATAAGTTAATTAAAAATTAATACAACATATATCTAAATCAAATTTCCCTTCTTAAGCACTCACTATTGGTTTTTAACAGTCTAAAAATTTTTAGTATCTATGCTAACTAATTGGTCAACAATTTACAAAATCATTTTAATTTATATATTGTTTGAAGAAATCTTTCTATCTTTAATCTAAAAAAACTTTTTTTTTACTAAAGTCACTCATATAATTATCATATTTTTACATTTTAAACTTTTTTTCTTGATTTTACTAAAAAACTAAATTCTTAAAAGCTGAAAAAATAAATATTTAATTAAGTATTAGATTTTAGAAATTTTCTATTTACTTGCAAAACTCTTCTTAAAAAGCTTAATTTATATTTTTGTGTTAAAATCTAATATTTGATTTACTACACAGAAAATCTGTGGATGAAAATGTGGTTAATAGCTTTAATACAAGTAAATTATATAATTTATATTTAAATAGAACAGATAATCTATATGCGAAAAATCTTATAACCAACTTTTTTAATATATGAAAATTAAAACTGACCTTTATCAGCCATTTATTACTTTTCATATTTGAAATAAAATACAAAATTGTTATAAAAATAAATAATAATTTTTAAATATTCAAAAAAAAAAATGTTTAATATTTCTTTGATTGAATATTAAAAATGTTTATTTATTTATTATTTTTACACTTTCATTTCAAAAATAATTTTGCCTCGAACTTCTTAAAAAAAAGTTGTTAATTTTTATATTACTTGTAAACTCATGAATGTATTTTTTAATTAATAGATAAGATTTACTCAGAATTTAGAAATTGTTAAATTAGTTGATCTTCTAAATTATGAGCTAATTTGCTTATTAGATAAAATGTTAGATATTTGAATTATTTTTGAAGGATCTATTCCCTACTTCTTTCTGAAGAGAAAAATAACTAAAAAATATTTTAAGCAAATTCGTCGTCTTAAAATATATTTTATCTTATTAAGATAAAACTAATTTATTTAATAAATTGTAATCTTTTTTGTATTTTATTTTTATAAATTTGTGTGATTTTGATTTCTCTATCCCTTAAAAAATATAAAAAAAGCTTATAAATATTTTTTCATAAGAAATATAACAAACTCACATTTAGTTAGGTATAATATCTATTTATAATAGATATTAAAGTCTATTTATGGTGTATTTTTTTTTATAAATTATATTTATAGGACTATATGGATTGTCAAAAACAGTATAAAATTATAAAATTTTTTCTTTTCAAGCTTACATATAAATCAAAAGTGAGCTAATCTTAATTAAGAAAAATAATTATTACTTGAGAAACCCAAATTATAATGTAGTTAAGCTTGAAATTAACTAAAATATGCAAAGCCAGACTATTCGTAACATTTTTATACTTTTTAGTAGTATTGTTATATAGTTCTAAAAACACTAGCTGACGCAAGCCGTATCTTTATTATATAATGCTTGAATTTAAGAAAATGAGCAAAAGGATAAAAGATTAAAATTTTTTAGGCAGCATCTGAGAAAAGAGTATTCAAATTATATATATATACTGAAGAATGCTTTTTATAAATAAGAAATAACAACCTCTATATTAAGATTATTTATATTGGCATACAAATATTTATTACCATAATTTATTAAATTCATTATACCAGAATTTATTAAGTTAAATTAATTTATATTTTCCTTTCAGGTTAAGTATTTATTTTGAAAAATAATCAGTTTTAATTAAATTTTGAAAACTGAATAATTAACTAACTCTTTAACATCCAATTTTAATGAGTAAAAAGAATCAGTCTATTTGCTAAAATTCAGTTTAAAAACTCTAGGACGGACAACCAAATTTAATATTTCATTATAATTAATAAAAAAATATTATAAACAATTATTAAAAAAATGAATAAATTATTATTACTTGCTATTTTCTTAGGCTTAGCTGGATTTTGCACTGCTACTATAACTTGTGGTACCAACGCAATTTCTCCAGACGGTACCAACTGTTATTGCTAACATGGATTTTATGGTACTGATGCTTCATAAGGTTAAACATGCTAATTATGCCCTAATAACACTACAACTACTTCTGGTACAACTAACACCGGTCCTAGTATTAATGTAGGAGCTTGCAATTAATGCATTAGTGGTTTCTATGTTACTGCTGTTGCTAATGCTGCTAGTCCCGGAACTGCTGTTTAATGTTAATAGTGTCCTGCTAACTCTAACACTTCTTCAGCTATGACAGCTCTTGGCTTTTGTACTTGTTATGATCCTAATGCTGCCCCCTTAAGCTCATCAGTTATTACTTGCACTTGCAAAAGTGGATATAAGGGTACTCCCACTACAACTGCAGGAAGTCCTTCAACATGTGTTGCAAACTCTGTTATTCTTAGCATTTTTGCAGCTTTATTATCTTTAGTTTTCCTTTTTTGAAAAAAATGGACAATTAAAAAAAATACTCTATTAAAATAATCAATTTTTTTATTGCCTGTAATTTATTACATTTTTATGTTTTTATGGAGAGGATTTAAGAGTTGATAAGAAGAGTATTAATCAATCATTTTCATTAAATATAAGATATAATATTAAGTTTATTATTTTAAAAATTAAAATAAATTTCTATTAACAATTTTTAAAATTAGGATATTATATTATGTATTTATTTTTAATTTTCCCTTCCATCATTCAGGCTTTTTAATAAATATCCTTATTAAATAATGAATAAATCAAAGAGAAGAAGGAAGGAAGAAAATAGTAGGCATATATAAATTTAATTTTAGAGAATATGAAAAAAAAAAATAATAATAATTACAATTCAAATATATTTATTGAGAAACTTCAAATAAATATGTTTCTTTTTACCTGACTTTTCTTTTATTTATAATTCTTATTTATATTTAATTATTGGTTATATTTAATAATAATGATAAATTAAATATGGGGTCAAAGAATGAGTTTTAATAATCAAAAATAATATATTATTTTTTGTATAATATTAAAAAGTGATAAATATGTTTCAACTTTTTATCTTCCTTCCTTCCATATTTGATTTTTGATTGTTAAATTAAATTTATAATTGTAAAGAATTAAAATGGTAGAAAGATAAACAGGCATATAAATATTCTAATAGATTACAATAACCTGATAAACTATTTATGTCATTTTTTATTTGATTTTATTAAATTTTGAGCAGTCAGTTAAAAATAATTTGATCACTAAGAAACAAAAAAATAAATTATGAATGCAAAATAAAATAAATTTTTGATGACTAATTCAGTATAAAAAAATATTACTGATGTGTTTATTCAGCGGATTGAGTCTTCTCAGCTCATAGTTCTTCCTCAGTAAGTAGTTTACTATATCAAAAAGATGGAGAATATTAATCTTATTAACACTTATCTGATACTTTTCTTCTTCATTCATATTTTTTATTGTAGGTCTGAAAAAAACTTTAAAATATATATCATATATGCTAAAAAACATATCTCACATTAGTTTAGATTGGATTTAAGATTTGTGATTAAAATTTTCTTTTTACTTGTAAAAAAGCTTTTAATTAATTCTGATAAATCTTTTGATGCATTATATAATCATACATTCATAAATATAGACCTTCCAAATTATTCACTTCACTGTATAGTCTTTCTATAGCTAGGACTAGAAAGTAGCATGTATAGAAAAAATGTTTAAATATATAGGTTTTATTTTTTGGCATATTATTTTATGTATAATATAATAATAAATTTTATTTTATTCATTTGATTGATTTTTAGTAGATATCAAAAAGTAGAATTTGTGATAATTAAATGGAAACAGAGTGTAAAGTAACAAGAATTTGAGCAATAAGAAGTTATAAATCAGTGAAAAGTGGAGGGAGAGTAATAGGCTTCTGAAAATGTCCTGATGACTAAAAGAAAACAGCTGATATATCATTTTGGAGTTCATTAATTAACGATTTCTCACTTATTAGCAAAATAAATAGGTTCATCGACAATGTATTATTTACTAATAAATATTATTTTCTACTATATAGAAGTATATTAGGGCCTGGCTGGAATTTAAGAAGAAGATAATTTTATTGAAATTCCCTTTAAAAAGTTTACTTATGGTATATGTTGCCATTTTTTTAGAAGGTAATTCTAAAATACATTTATTTGAAAAAGGTAGGTATTAAATTTGATTCCTATGAATATCAAAAAACTAAATAAGAATATAAATAAATTCATGGATTTGAAAATTTATTTTATGTGAAAAATGTTTTAATTTTTTTTAATTTCTCAAATAATTCTATATATTTTTATGTGTATTTTGCACTAACTAAAAAATTTAATTTAATGTAAAAATAATAATTCATAGCTATTAAAATTAATAGCTAACCTTTAGTAGCTCTATTTTAAAATCTTTTTTTATCTATCACAAATAAACTAAATAACTAATTTATTTATTTCAATCCTACTTATGTATGTTTAATCTCCTAAATCTAAGGATTTACTAAATTTTCTAATAAGATAAATGTTCGTGTTTATATTTTATTTATCATCAAAAAAGTGTAAGTTATCTTCTCAAAAAGAGGATAATTAATTTATTGTGACTTTGATTAAGAATGCTAATTTTTTGAGTATCTATTTTATCTAAATTAATTAAATTACTAGAAGTCAAAATAGAACAGATAAAAAGAATTACTTGGATAGTAAAAATTAGAAGAAAATATTAATTAAATATATCAAAATGAGGATAATTAATTAATAATGATTTTGATTATGAATGCTAATTTTTTTAGTATTTTTTTTAAAAATTACTAGAAGTCAAAATTTAGCTGATTGAATAATTTAATACACTAAAATTTAAAGAAAATGTTAATTAAATAATTGAAATTAAACCTTATTATTTGCTGATTAATTTCCAAATCCTCCAAATTAATCTATACATTTTAAGGCATATTTTATTTATACAAGCTAATAAAATTATTTAGATATAAAAATAATAATTCATAACTATTAAAATTAATAACATTCGCTCCTTTTAAAAAATATATTTATATCTTTTCATACATACATACATTTAAAAGAATTCATTTATTTCTATCACATTTTTTTACGTTTAATCTCCTAAATCAAAAAATTTTACTAGTTTTTCTAATCTAATAAGTTGGATATTCTTTTAATTAATAATAATGTTTTTCACTCTTTGGAAATTTATCATAAACATCAGTGTATTTAATTAATTTTGTTTATTATTAAAAAAGTGTAAGTTATCTTCTCAAAAAATAAGATAATGAATGATGATTTTGAATATGAATGTTATCTACATTAATTAAGTTAATAGAAGTCAAAATTCAACAGATAAAGTTATTTGATTAGAAAAATTTAGAAGAAAATATTAATTAAATTTTCAAAATTAATCCTTATTATTTAATGATTAATTTCAAACCCTCCAAAAAACTATGTATTTTAGATGTAATTTACACAAGCCAATAAAATTATTTTAATGTAAAAATAATATAAAATTAACAGTTAATTAGCTATTAAGTTAATTTTTTTATTTTTAAAAAAAGTGTAAGTTATCTTTTCATAAAATTGGATAATTAATGATGATATTGATTATCAATGTTAATTTTTTAAGTACCTTTTACCTACTAAAGAAAAAAATGTTAATTAAAAATATCAAAAATAAACTTTTGTTTATTATTAAAAAGTGTAAGTTAACTTCTCAAAGAGAGAATAATTAATTAATTAATTATGATTTTGATTATGAATGCTAATTATTTGAGTTTCTTTTTTCTATCCACCTTATTTAAATTACTAAAAGTCAAAATTCAGTAGATGAAATTATTTATTTGGTAAGTTAATTTTTAAAGAAAGTGTAAACCTTATTATTTGCTAATTAATAAAAAATGGATTAATTCTTTTGAATTTTTTTTATTGCATATTTATCAAATTAACAATTAGATTTGTTTGGTATCTCTTTTTATAACAGAGTTATTAGCTTATTTACTTTCTAGAGGAGCAACATTTGAAGATTTCAATTTTAGTTTAAAAATGGTACATACTCCCTCTCATCTAATAGGCGCTATTTATAAACACAATGATTTTTCAAAAAAATTGATTTCTTTTTAAAATAATATTTATGATTTTTAATATAAAAAAAAATGATAAATTATTTTCCTTTAATTATTTTATTTTTTTACATTTAAAAATATTTGTAAACCTTTTACTTACAATTAATGTATTTATTTACCTTTTTTAATCATGTAACATTTGATATTGTTTTGTTTATAAACAATTAATTAGCATTTGAATTAATCTAAAGCTATTTTTATCTCCCTTTTACATAACTCTATATTTTGTTTGCTTGGTTTACACTAGTTTCAAAGTTGATTTAAAGCTATCAAAATTCACCAATATATTCATTAAATTATATATTTAAGATATAGATTTGATCTATTTCTGCATATGTATTTTTATATTCTACTTACTTTTTGTCTTATTTGCTTCTTCAGAAATAATCGCTAATAGTTTTTTAGCAATTTAGTTATAAAATTATTTACTTAAAGTAAATAGACAAAGTGTTTTATTATTTTTTCTATATTCGCACATTTTTAAGAAAGATATGCATTCTTACTATTTAATACGATATAAAGTCGTTTATTAAAAGTTAGGAGTTATAACTTACTTTGAATAGGTTAAAAAAATTAGATATTTGGTACGAGTTTGTAAACCACTAATTTAAAGACATTTCTTAAAAATTTTGTATGCAAATTTAAAAGTACCATAAAATGAGAATGATATAAATAAATATGCAAATATATTAAACCAGTCAATAACTCATCTACTATCAATGATTTTATTCGTGTGAAAAAATATAAAGAAATTCATTTTAACTTGTTAAATTATGGTAAAAAATACTATTAAAATGAATTCAATTTTCAGATTCATTTCTTTGTAATAGCTATTTTTTTTATTAAATTTTTAATATAAAAAGTTAAAAATTTCTTGAAGATCCTAAAGTTTTCTTTGAATTTCATTTTTAGGTTTCAAAAATACCTATCAAATTGAATTCATTTCTTTTTCAGAGATAAAATAAATCAAAGTTATTAATTTTCTTATTTTCTAAAAGAAATTAATTTAAATTAGAATAAACAAGCAAAATGAATTACTTTTAATTTTTTATTCTTAATCATGGTTAAATTCTAGCGTAAGAAAATATTATATTTAATCCTATTTTTACTCCAAAATATTTTAAAAAATAGAATTTAACTATAAATAAAAAATGTACTTGAATGATAGGGTAAGTTTATTTTTATATTTTAAGGAAAACTAGACGGGTAATATTAATTTTGAATTTAAATTAATCTGCTTCACAAAACAATTATTCAGTTATTTAAGTTAATATATTAAAATATAACCATTTAAACCAATCAAATTAATTTCAAAGATCTTCTATTTAATTAAAAACTCAAATATTTGGGGACAAATTTTTATTTTAATTAGTTTCTTCTTGCTTTAATATTCATTTTCACTTATATGTTATTTACTTCCAATATAAAAAGGTATTTTACATATATTGATTGTGTCATTTTAAATTCCAAGCCCAACTAAAATAAATCATAATTATTAAAAATAAAATAAATAAATAAATAATTTTAAAAAATGAACAAATTCTTAGTACTTGCTACCCTATTAGCTTTAACTGGATTCACTCATGCAACGGCCCCATGCCATCCTTCTGCTTAGATAAGTCCAAAGGATAATACTAAATGTGTATGCCCTCCTGGTACCTGGGGCACTGATGGAATATCACAATGCAATCGATGTCCTGATAATAGTTTTTCCCTTATTTTTGATAATACTGGACCTAATCTCAATGTTTCAGCTTGCAATATGTGTGATTAAGGTTATTATGTCTCATTTGCAGCTACTGATAATGCTCCTGCTACTTGTACTAAATGTAGTGGAAATTCAACCCCTAAAGATCAGACAACAATTGCTAGCCCTAATGAAAGTGCCTGTAATGCTTGCATGATTAATTATTACTATGCCTCTCCTCCTTCTAAAAATTCTTTAGTCCCCACTTGCGTCTATTGCCCTCAATATTCTAATACAAGGTATTAATTGTAGTCTACCCCTGATTTTTGTACTTGCTATGACTCTGGTGCAAATGCCTTAAGTAGTACTGTTACTTCTTGTACATGCAAATCTGGTTAAGGAACTCCCGTTCAAACTTTTGGACAACCTTCAACCTGTATTCCTACTACCACTTCTAATTCTTCTTCTTCTGCTTCAAATGCTTCTAATGGTTCAAATGCTTCTAATGGTTCAAATACTTCTAATGGTTCAAATGCTTCTAATGGTTCAAATGCTTCTAATAGTTCAAATGCTTCTAATGGTTCAAATACTTAAACTGCTTCAAATGTTTTAATTCTTAGTACTTTTGCTGCTTTATTATCATTCGTTTTCATTATTTGAAAATAAAGATTTAAAATTTGAAAAATACTAATAAGTAATGTCAATATTTTATTAAGTATGTTTACATCTTACATGTTTTTATACAAATTATTTGAGAATTGGAGACAAATATTTTTTTTTTTAAATATTTTTTATATCTTTAAATTTAAATTTTAATGAATTTTGCTTTTCCTGGTATTGACATATCATGAATTGGATTATCAGATATTGATTTATATCAATCAATTTATTATAAAAATAAATAATAAATTAAAAAGATTTAGCTTTACTATAAGTCTTAAAGGAATATTGATTTAATTAATTTTTCAATATATATTTTGTAAAAAATGTGAATATATATTAATTGTTTATATTTTATCGAAATTTTAATTGTTTTCATTAATGGAGGTTAAACATTTTTTTGCTTTCTAATTTTAATTTTGAATGTGTTTACATGTCCATTTTTCTATTATAAATTGTATGTAGACCCAGATAACAACTACCTACCAAAATATTAATTAAATTACCAAAATTAAACCTTATTATTTAATGATTAATTTCCAAATCCTCCAAATAACTTATGTATGTATTTTAATGTGTATTTAATTTTACACAAGCTAAGAAAATTATTTTAATGTTAAAAACAGTAATTCACTATTGTTAAAATTAACAATTAATTAGTTATTAAATTATTTTTTTTATTATTAAAAAAATGTAAGTTATCTTCTCAAAGAATTGGATAATTAATAAATGATTATTTTGATTATAAATGTTAATTTTTTGAGTTTCTTCTCTCTTTCCAAGAGGAAAATGTTAATTAAATATATCAAAACTAAAATTTTGTTTATTATTAAAAAGAAAGTGGAAGTTATCTTCTCAAAGAGAGGATAATTAATTCATTAATTATGATTTTGATTATGAATGCTAATTTTTTGAGTATCTTTTTTCTCTCCACCTTAATTAATTAAATTACTAGAAGTCAAAATTCAGCAGATGGAATTATTTATTTGGTAAGTTAATTTTTGAAGAAAGTGTAAACCTTATTATTTACTAATTAATAAAAAATGGATTACTTCTTTTTAATTTTTTTTATTGCATATTTATCAAATTAACAATTAGATTTGTTTAGTATTTTGTTATAAATCTCTTTTTATAACAGAGTTATTAGCTTATTTACTTTCTAGAGGTGCAACATTCGAAGATTTCAATTTTAGTTTAAAAATGTTACATACTCCTTCTCATCTAATCAGCGCTGTTTACAAACACATATGATTTTTAATATTAAAAAAAATAATTATAAATTATTTTCCTTTAATTAAAATACAATTTATTTTTTTACATTTAAAAATGTTTGTAAACCTTTTACTTACAATTAATGTATTTATTTACCTTTTTTAATCACGTAACCTTTGATATTGCTTTGTTTATAAACAATTAATTAGCATTTGAATTAATCTAAAGTTATTTTTGTCTCCCTTTTACATAATTTCATATTTTGTTTGATTGCTTTACACTAGTTTCAAAGTTGATTTAAAGCTATCAAAATTCACCAATATATTCATTAAATAATATATTTAAGATATAAATTTGATCTATTTCTGCATATATTTACTTTTTGTCTTATTTGCTTCTTTAGAAATAATCGCTAATAGTTTTTTCGTAATTTACTTATAAAATTATTTACTTAAAGTAAATAGACAAAGTGTTTTATTATTTTTTCAATATTCGCACATTTTTAAGAAAGATATGATATTTGGTACAAGTTTTTAAACCACTAATTTAAAGACATTTCTTAAAAATTTTGTATGCAAATTTAATAGTACCATAAAATGAGAATGATATAAATAACTATGTAAATATATTAAACTAGTTAATAACTCATCTACTATCAATGATTTTATTTGTGTGAAAAAATATAAAGAAATTCATTTAAGCTTGTTAAATTATGGTAAAACATACTATTAAAATGAATTCAATTTTGACATTCATTTCTTTGTAATAGCTATTTTTTTTTTTAAATTTTTAATATAAAAAGTTACAACTTTCTTGAAAATCCTAAAGTTTTGTTTGAATTTCATTTTTAGGTTTCAAAAATACATATCAAATTGAATTCATTTGTTTTTTCAGATATAAAATAAATCAAAGTTATAAATTTTCTTATTTTCTAAAAGAAATTAATTTAAATTAGAATAAACAAGCAAAATGAATTACTTTTAATTTTTTATTCTTAATCATGGTTAAATTCTAGAGAAAGAAAATATTATATTTAATCCTATTTTTACTCCAAAATATTTTTAAAAATAGAATTTAACTATGAATAAAAGATGTAATAGAATGATAGGGTAAGTTTATTTTTATATATTAAGGAAAACTAGACGGATAATATTAATATTGAATTTAAATTAATTTGCTTCACAAAATTATTATTTAGTTATTTAAGTTCATATATTAAAATATAACCATTTAAACCAATCAAATTAATTTCAAAGATCTTTTACAAAATTTTTGAAAGCCTAAATATCATAACAGTTTTGGTATGGCATGGCTCGTTTCCAACAAAAAGAAAAGTGCTATATTTTAATTTTTTTAATTCATTAGAATAATAAAATAAATTACTTATTCAATCAAATTAAGCAAAAATATTTTAAAATAAATTTTTATTAAATAAACTTTATTTTTTTAAACAAGATATTTAACTCAAATTTAAAATTTTCTTTTTACTAATAAAAAAGCTTTTAATTAATTCTGATAAATCTTTTGATGTATTATATAATCATACATTCATAAATATAGACCTTCCAAACAATTCACCTCACTGTATAGTCTATAGCTAGGACTAGAAAGTAGCATGTATAGAAAAAAATGTTTAAATATTTTGGCTTGTTATTTTATGTATAATATAATAATAAATTTTATTTTATTCATTTGATTGATTTTTAGTAGATATCAAAAAGTAGAAATTGTGATAATTAAATGCAAAGAGAGTGTAAAGTAACAAGAGAAGTTATAAATCAGTGAAAAAATGAGGGAGAGTAATAGGCTTCAGGAAATGTTATGATGATTAAAAGAAAACAACTGATCTATCATTTTGGAGTTCATTAATCAACGATTTCTCGATTATTAGCAAAATAAATAGGTTCATCGACAATGTATTATTCACTAATAAATATTATTTTCTACTATATAGAAGTATATTAGGGATTGGCTGGAATCTAAGAGGAAGATAATTTTATTGAAATTCCCTTTAAAAAGTTTGCTTATGGTATTTGTTGCCATTTTTTTGGAAGGTACTTCTAAAATACATTTATTTGAAAAAGGTAGGTATTAAATTTGATTCCTATGAATATCAAAAAACTAAATAAGAATATAAATAAATTCATGGATTTGAAAATTTATTTTATGTGTAAATTGTTTTATTTTTTTTTTAATTTCTCAAATAATTCTATGTATTTATTTTTAGTTGTATTTTGCACTAGCTAAAAAAATTATTTTAATGTAAAAATAATAATTCATAGCTATTAAAATTAATAGCTAACCCTTAGTAGCTATTTTAAAAATACTTTTTTATCTTTCACACATAAACTAACTAACTAACTAATTTATTTATTTCAATCCTACTTATGTATGTTTAATCTCCTAAATCTAAGGATTTACTAAATTTTCAAATAAGATAAATGTTCGTGTTTATATTTTGTTTATCAAAAAGTGTAAGTTATCTTCTCAAAAAGAGGATAATTAATTAATTATGACTTTGATTAAGAATGCTAATTTTTTGAGTATCTATTTTATCTACATTAATTAAATTACTAGAAGTCAAAATACAACAGATAGAAAGAATTACTTGGATAGTAAAAATTTGAAGAAAATATTAATTAAATATATCAAAATTAAACATTATTATTTGCTTATTAACTCCTAAAATCTCTAAATAACTCTACTTATTTAAAGGCGTATATTTACATCAAAACTATTAAAATTTATAACTAACTCTTATTAGATCTATTTAAAAAATATTATTATTTCTTTTCACATATACATTTACTTACTAATTCATTTATTTCAATCAAATTTATTTACATTTAATCTCCTAAAATCAAAAAATAAATTGACTAATTTTTCTAAGCTAATAAGTTTGATATTTCTTAAATTAATAATTCTTTGGAAATTCATCATAAATTTTAATGTGTAAATTTTGTTTATTATTAAAAAGTATAAGTTAACTTCTCAAAGAGAGGATAATTAATTAATTATGATTTTGATTATGAATGCTAATTTTTTGAGTATTTTTTTTATATCCACCTTAATTAAATTACTAAAATTCAAAATTTAGCTGATTGAATTATTTAATACGCTAAAATTTAAAGAAAATGTTAATTAAATATATCAAACTAAACCTTATTATTTGCTGATTAATTTCCAAATCCTCCAAATTACTCAAAACATTTTAAGGAGTATTTTATTTATACAAGCTAAAAAAATTATTTTGAAGTAAAAATAATAATTCATAAATATTAAAATTAATAACATTAGCTCCTTTTAAAAAATATAGCTATATCTTTTCATGCATATATTTAAAAAATTCATTTATTTCTATCACATTTTTTTATGTTTAATCTCCTAAATCAAACAATTTTACTAGTTTTTCTAATCTAATAAGTTGGATATTCTTTAAATTAATAATAATATTTTTCACTCTTTGGAAATTTATCATAAACATCAGTGCAGTTTATTAATTTTGTTTATTATTAAAAAAGTGTAAGTTATCTTCTCAAAAAATATGATAATTTATGATGATTTTGAATATGAATGTTATATACATTAATTAAGTTACTAGAAGTCAAAATTCAACAGATAAAGTTATTTGATTAGTAAAATTTAGAAGATAATGTTAATTAAATTTTCAAAATTAATCCTTATTATTTAATGATTAATTTCAAACCCTCCAAATAACTATGTATTTTAGGTGTAATTTACACAAGCCAATAAAATTATTTTAATGTAAAAATAATGTAAAGTAAACAGTTGATTAGCTAGTAAGTTAATTTTTTTATTTTTAAAAAAAGTGTAAGTTATCTTTTCATAAAATTGGATAATTAATGATGATATTGATTATGAATGTTAATTTTTTGAGTACCTTTTACCTATTAAAGAAAAAAATGTTAATTAAAAATATCAAAAATAAACTTTTGTTTATTATTAAAAAGTGTAAGTTAACTTCTCAAAGAGAGGATAATTAATTAATTATGATTTTGATTATGAATGCTAATTTTTTGAGTTTCTTTTTTCTATCCACCTTAATTAAATTACTAGAAGTCAAAATTCAGCAGATGAAATTAATTATTTGGTAAGTTAATTTTTGAAGCAAGTGTAAACCTTATTATTTGCTAATTAATAAAAAATGGATTACTTCTTTTGAATTTTTTTTATTGCATATTTATCAAATTAACAATTAGATTTGTTTAGTATTTTGTTATAAATCTCTTTTTATAACAGAGTTATTAGTTATTTACTTTTTAGAGGAGAAACATTTGAAGATTTCAATTATAGTTTAAAAATGTTACATACTCCCTCTCATCTAATAAGCGCTGTTTACAAACACATATGAACTTTCAAAAAAATTGATTTCTTTTTAAAATAATATTTATGATTTTTAATATTAAAAAAAAATGATAAATTATTTTCCTTAAATTAAAATACATTTTATTTTTTTACATTTAAAAATTTTTGAAAACCTTTTACTTACAATTAATGTATTTATTTACCTTTTTTAATAATTTAAACTTTGATATTACTTTGTTTATAAACAATTAATTAGCATTTGAATTAATCTAAAGCTATTTTTGTCTTACTTTTACATAACTTCATATTTTGTTTGATTGCTTTACACTAGTTTCAAAGTTGATTTAAAGCTATCAAAACTCACAAATATATTGATTAAATAATAAATTTAAGATATAAATTTGATCTATTTCTGCATATGTATTTTTATATTCTACTTACTTTTTGTCTTATTTGCTTCTTTAGAAATAATCGCTAATAGTTTTTTCGCAATTTACTTATAAAATTATTTACTTAAAGTAAATAGACAAAGTGTTTTATTATTTTTTCAACATTCGCACATTTTTAAGAAAGATATGCATGCTTAATATTTAATACGATATAAAGTCGTTTATTAAAATTTAGGAGTTATGATTGACTTACTTTGATTAGGTTAAAAAAATTAGATATTTGGTACTAGTTTTTAAACCACTAATTTAAAGACATTTCTTAAAAATTTTGTATGCAAGTTTAATAGTACCATAAAATGAGAATGATATAAATAACTATGCAAATATATTAAACCAGTCAATAACTCCTCTACTATCAATGATTTTATTCGTATGAAAAAATATAAAGAAATTCATTTAAGCTTGTTAAATTTTGGTAAAACATACTATTAAAATGAATTAAATTTTCACATTCATTTCTTTGTAATGGCTATTTTTTTTTAAATTTTTAATATAAAAAGTTAAAACTTTCTTGAAAATCCTAAAGTTATCTTTGAATTTCATTATTAGGTTTCAAAAATACCTATCAAATTGAATTCATTTCTTTTTCAGAGATAAAATTAATAACTTTCTTATTTTTTCTAAAAATTAAAAGAAAATTAATATTGCTTGTTATTCTAATTTATATTAATTTCTTTTTATTATTTATCACTGTTAAATAATATAGCGTAAGAAAATATTATATTTAATCCTATTTTTACTCCAAAATATTTTAAATAATAGAATTTAACTAAGAATAAAAATGTACTAGAATGATAGGGTAAGTTTATTTTTATATTTTAAGGAAAACTAGACCGGTAATATTAATATTAATATTGACTTTAAATTAATTTGCTTTACAAAATTATAATTCAGTTATTTAAGTTCATATATTAAAATATAACCATTTAAACCAATCAAATTAATTTCAAAGATCTTTTACAAAATTTTTGAAAGTTGGGGATAAATTTTTATTTTAATTAATTTTTTTCTTGCTTTAATTTACATTCATTTTCACTTATATGATATTTAATTCCAATATAAAAAGGAATTTTAGATATTGATTGTGTCATTTTAAATTCAAAGCCCAACTAAAATAAATCATAATAATTAAAAATAAAATAAATAATATAAATAAAATAAATAAAAAAAATAATTTAAAAAAATGAGCAAATTCTTAGTACTTGCCACCCTATTAGCTTTAACTGGATTCTCTCATGCAACGGTCACATGCGGTTAAGGTGCTATCATAGATCCAGGAGATAATACTAAATGCTTTTGCCCTTAAGGTTTCTATGGTGATCCACTTAAATATTGCTAATCTTGTCCTGGTAATTCTTTCTCCCATTTTACTGTAAATAGTATCAATGTTTAAGATTGCAATATATGTAAAGATGGTTATTATGTCTAAGAAGCTGCTACTGATAAAACTGCTGCTATTTGTACTAAATGTAGTGGATTTACAACCCCTAAAGAATAAACACCAACTTCTAGCTCTAATGAAAGTGTCTGTAATGCTTGCATGGATGGATATTATTACTTAGCTGGTCCTATTAATAATTCTTTAGTCCCCACTTGCGTCCAATGCCCTCCATATTCTGGTGTACAAGGAATTCTTTAGTCTACCCCTGGTTTTTGTACTTGCTATGACTCTGGTGCAAATGCCTTAAGTAGTACTGTTACTTCTTGTACATGCAAATCTGGTTAAGGAACTCCCATTCAAACTCCAGGATCAACTTCAACCTGTATTCCTACTACCACTTCTAATTCTTCTTCTACTGCTTCAAATGCTTCTAATGGTTCAAATGCTTAAACTGCTTCAAATGCTGTAATTCTTAGTACTTTTACTGCTTTATTATCATTCGTTTTCATTATTTGAAACTAAAGATTTAAACTTTGAAAAATAGTAATAAGTAATGTCTATTTTTTATTAAGTATGATTTCATCTTACATGTTTTTATGCAAATTATTCGACAAAGATTTTTTTAAAAAAATATTTTTTATTTCATTAAATTAAAATTTTAATGAATATAGCTGTTCCTGGTATTGACATATCATGAATTGGATTATCAGATATTGATTTATATTAATCAATTTATTATAAAAATACATAATAAATTAAAAAGATTTAGCTTTACTATAAGTCTTAAAAGAATATTGATTTAATTAATTTTTCAATATTTTGTAAAAAATGTGAAAATATATTAATTGTTTATATTTTATCGAAATTTTAATTGTTTTCATTAATGGAGGTTAAAATTTTTTTGCTTTCTAATTTTAATTTTGAATGTGTTTACAATACAAAAATTTAAACTATTTTTATTTTAAAAATATTAATTAGTAATTTCCCTCCTCACATAACAAAAATATAATGATATTAAATAGATAAAAAAAGATAAATAAAACCTTAAAATTAATCATGGAAGAATCCTTAAGGTCAATCAAAGTTAATGACAAATTTGCAGTAATAATTTTTTTTGCTATATTTTCAATATTTTACTTAAACTATAATTTTCTTCATAATGTTAAATTATTGATGAGCAAATAATTTCGAGTAAATTTGAGATCTACCTTAGAAAAAAATTGTAGAGGTGGTAGAGGATGGGATAAGTTATATTCAATTTTTAAATGAAAGAATTAGCTTCTTAAGTACACAAAGAAAATTATTTTTTCTTATTTTTATAACTTCAATGTCATATTTATTATCTTATTTTTGAGTGGCTGTTAGATTCTTGTTATAATATGATAGTTATCCTGTATTTCATATGAAAAATAATTAAAAATATAATTTCAAAAGAAATTTAAAGAAATAATTGATAAAGTTGATCTTTTTATTATATAAAAGTCCAAGAGAGAGTTTTATTGTCTTTCTCTAGAAAGATAGTAGAGAGACACAGATAAACAGGGAAGAGCCCTAAGGAGAGCTAAGAGGTACTTTAAGAAAATTAAATAATAAGAAGAAATTTTGAATATGATTGTTATCTACATTAATTAAGTTTACTAGAAGTCAAAATTCAACAGATGGAGTTATTTGCTAACTATACATTTTGAAGAAAATATTAATTAAATTACCAAAATTAAACCTTACTATTAATTGATCAATAACCAAATCCTCCAAATAACTTATTTATCTCTTTTAATGTGTATTTATTTTACACAAGCTAATAAAATTATTTAAATGTAAAAATAGTAAGTAATTCACAATTATTAAAATTAACAGTTAATTAGTTATTAAATTATTTTTTTTATTATTAAAAAAAATGTAAGTTATCTTCTCAAAAAATTGGATAATTAATGATTATTTTGATTATGAATGTTAATTTTTTGAGTTTCTTCTCTCCTTCCAAGAGGAAAATGTTAATTAAATATATCAAAACTATACTTTTGTTTATTATTAAAAAGTGTAAGTTATCTTCTCAAAGAGAGGATAATTAATTAATTATGATTATAAATGCTAATTTTTTGAGTATCTTTTTTCTATCCACCTTAATTAAATTACTAGAAGTCAAAATTGAGCAGATGAAATTATTTATTTAATTATTAGGTAAGTTAAATTTTGAAGAAAGTGTAAACCTTATTATTTACTAATTAATTAAAAATGGATTATTTCTTTTTAATTTTTTTATTGCATATTTATCAAATTAACAATTAGATTTGTTTAGTATTTTGTTATAAATCTCTTTTTATAACAGAGTTATTAGCTTATTTACTTTCTAGAGGAGCAACATTTGAAGATTTCAATTTTAGTTGAAAATGGTACATACTCCCTCTCATCTTATAAGCGCTGTTTACAATCACATTTGAATTTTCAAAAAAAATTGATTTTTTAAAAATAATATTTATGATTTTTAATATTAAAAAAAATGATAAATTATTTTCCTCTAATTAAAATACATTTTATTTTTTTACATTTAAAAATGTTTGTAAACCTTTTACTTATAATTAATGTATTTATTTACCTTTTTTAATCACGTAACCTTTGATATTGCTTTGATTATAAAAAATTAATTAGCATTTGAATTAATCTAAATTTATATTTTTCTCACTTTTACATAACTCTATATTTTGTTTGCTTGCTTTACACCTAGTTTCAAAGTTGATTTAATGCTATCAAAATTCATCAATATTTTGATTAAATAATATATTTAAGATATAAAAATTGATCAATTTCTGCACATGTATTTTTATATTCTACTTACTTTTTGTCTTATTTGCTTCTTTAGAAATAATTGTTAATTGTTTTTAGTAATTTACTTATAAAATTAATTACTTCAAGTAAACAGACAAAATGTTTTATTTTTTTTTCAATATTCGTATATTTTTAAGAAAGATGTGCATGCTTACTATTTAATAGGATAGAAAGTCGTTTATTAAAATTAAGAAGTTATAACTTACTTTGAATAGGTTAAAAAAAATAAATATTTGGTACGAGTTTTTAAACCACTAATTTAAAGACATTTCTTAAAAATTTTGTATGCAAGTTTCATAGTACCATAAAATGAGAAAGATATAATTATACAAATATATTAAATTAGTCAATAACTCATCTCTATCAATGATTTTATTTGTGTTAAAAAATATAAAGAAATTCATTTATGCTTGGTTTTTTAAAAAGCCTATTAACTGTCAAATTTTATCATTTTAATGAAATAAGAAATAGCTTTATGAAAGTTATAAAAAAAAGATAAAATCTATTTATTTACATTCATTAATTTTTTAAGTTAAATTATGGTAAAAAAAATTAATTAAAATGAATTCAATATTAACATTCATTTCTTTGTTATAACTTGTTTTTTTAAATTATTAAACAAAAGTTAAAACTTTCTTGAAAATCCTAAAGTTTTCTTTGTATTTCATTTTTAGGTTTCAAAAATACATATCAAATTGAATTCATTTCTTTTTCAGATATCAAATTTATTAATTTTCTTATATTTTCTAAAATAAATTAATTTAAATTAGAATAACAAGCAATATGAAGTTTCTTTTAATTTTTATTCTTAATCATGGTTAAATTCTAGCGTAAGATTATTTTATAATAAATCTATTTTTACTCCAAAATATTTTAAAAAATAATTATGAATAAAAAATTTACTAAAATGATAGGGTAAGTTTATTTATTTTTTATATTTTAAGGAAAACTAGGCAGGTATTATTAATATTAATATTGAATTTAAATTAATTTATTTCACAAAATTATTTAGTTATTTAAGTTCATATATTAAAATGTAACCATCTAAGCCAATCAAAATAATTTCAAAGATCTTCTATTTAATTAAAAACTCAAATATGCAAACAAAATTTTTGAAATCTAAGAATTTATTTGAAAATTTTTGTATAATTTTTAATACTAATAATTTGAATAAATTTATGCTTTTTCTTTCTTTCTTAGATAGATTCAGTTTAAACACAAGACTAATAGCTATGCAATGACAAAAGAGAAATATAAATATATTCATTAATTAATTTATTTTTATTCAATTTATACTTAATAATAACAAAATTATAAATCATTATATTGATCTATCAAGTTCTTGAGCAATCTTTTCAAGTTCTTCTAGATTTTAGGCCATTTCTTTTCCATATCCATTTTCTTTATCTTCTGGGCAGGGATTAAGTTTAAGCATCATTGAGTATGTACCAACATAACTGATGGATCTTTTAAGTTTGTTTCTAAGTCTTCTAGGATATATCGGGTTTTCAACCATGCACCTATAGAATTAGAGACTTTCGTTCACGAAATAAATTTATAGGGAGTACTTCCAGTGACAAGTTATGTACGACTAATTGTAAGAGATTAGAAAAAAATCCTAATAGTTATTGTTCATGTCAGGATAATGATCTGATATGATGGTCAAAAGCATTTAATTAACTCAAGGTAGACTAAATTTGAAAGCTATATCGATTTGTTAGATACTGCTTTTTCAGAAATTAATTTTGATAAGGTAAAACAGTTTTAATTTTAAATAAGACCTAGCAACATATCATGCCTCAGAGAATATTAGATCATAGTTGAAAAAAAATAAAATTGAAATTTTGAATGGATAAGTAAAGGAACAGATCTGAATCCAATAGAGAAATGTTGGGCTTTTATAAAAAGTGAAAGTAGTGACGAACTATACTCCAAATATAAAATCGCTGAAGAAGATCTTTATAATGCTGTGAACCATTCTTTTTGTAGCATCAAATGACTTAAAAATTTGAATCCTAAAATTTATACTTCTATGACTTAAAATAAAAGAGGAGTTATTAATGATGAATGAGAATTATTAAGTTTTTTAGAATCTTTTTTATCTTTTATATAAGTATTTCTTCTTATCTCAACAAATTGTTAATTAATATAAGTATATAATATTTTGATCGATCAACTAATTATAATAGAAATATACAAAAAATTTAATGGTTAGAAAGGAGATCTTTAACAAGAGGAAAAATTTTTTTTGACATGTATTATTTTTCATCAATTTTAAAATGAATTGAAGATGGAGAGGGTGAGTGTCCTTTAAAAAAATAAATTGCATAATTTTTAGTAGAAATTAATTAAATATTTAACCATACTTATTAATTTAAATACTAATTAGTTTTTCTACAAAATTTAATTTAAAAACATAAATAATTTATTAATTAATCAAATAGAACAATTTTTAATATAATAAATTATATTAAATTCAATTAAATAAATTAATTCTAACGAGAAGCGAATAACAGTCTGAATATAAATTATTTTACATTTCTTTAATAATTAAAAAATTTTTAAAATAGAATAATTATTTCAAAGATTAAAATGTAAATTTGATTATCCTCCTACCTAATATTATAAAAAGACAATTTTTATTAGAAATAATATTATTAAAAATGAAATAGCTTTAAAAAATACAATAGCTACATAGAAAAATACTAAAGGAATAGATAGATCAATTTATATAGAAAATTAATTAATTAAATAAGAATTAATCAGACTTTGGAAAAAAGCTTATTAAAAAAGGAAAAAATTTATTCATTTTTTAATAAAAATAAATAAATAAATTAAAGAATACAATTACAAAATGAAAGGAGCAAATACTTAAAAAAACTCTCCTGTGAAGAGTAAAATAATATAAAATGTAAATTAAATTAATGTTAAATTAAATAATTCTAACTAATTTACTACTTGCATGCAATAACTAGCTTTAGAGTTCAAAAATTTAAATAATCGAAAAGTACTTCTCGATCTCCAAACTAAATTCTATGGAGATAAAGAATTATTGGATTTTACAATTAATTTAACAAAAGTTTCCAAAGATATCAGATATTTGGTTTGGAAGATATAAGGTGATTTTACAGATGATGGATAAGCTAGCTCTATTGGTAATTTCATAGGTAAACTAGTTAACACATATAGATTAGAAATAATAATTGATTCACCCTATTTTGCAGATAACGGAGCTGTTTTTTTGTCAAAAGGCTTTAGTAAATTAAAGAATTTACATATCCTGAAGATTGAGATATTTCCTACATATGGTAAAGTATGTAAAAAGATGACAGAAAATGGTATTTTTAAAATTTAATAGTCAATTCGTGAAATGCCTAACTTAGAAATTTTACACTATGATGTATTACAGTCTTATAAAGAAATTGAATGCAATTAAGATCAATATCTATTTAGAGGTTTAAAAAAACTTTCAAATAAAGTTTTGAAAATTCAAAATGATACTTCAGTCGAAGATCTAAATCAATTTTTTGAATAAGAAAAGAATAATTTGATTTCAGTGAGTTATGATTACAGTATATTTTACTATGAAGAGTCTAAAGTAACTGAACATAGTATTTTAAAACATTTAAATTTAGTTAAACCATCTTTTGATTTACCATACCTGCTAAATTTTAACATAACTAATTCATATTAATATGAAAGTTATTTATAATTAAAAAATTATAATAACTTAACATATTTAAAAAATATCCTAAATGAATTTTCTCAAATTAATAACAAAACCGTATTATAAATTATTGTGTTTAATGCTTTTACCAAGAATCAAATGACCATTAATCCATTATTAGTTTATGTAGATTTAATCTATTGAGATATTCAATAAGTCTTTGATTTTAAGTAAATTAAAAAAATACTAATAAATTTATGTGTTTTTTTTAAAATATATATTTGAGATAAATGTATCTAACATTTAACATGATACAGTATTTTAATTTAAAGTATCCAATGTATTTATTTACCTTTAATTTAATAAGTTCATTAATAGAAAAGGTTTTTAATTTTATTGAAATTATGAGTTTTAAAAATATTAATAATCTTTATTATATATAATTTAGAATTATCATAGAAAAGATGTTAATTAATTTCTAACAAAAATTTGTTAAAATTTGATATAAATGATCAAAACAATTATTAAAATTAATAAGTAAAATTAGTTAAAACTCATAAAAATTAATATTTTTATTTCTGTATTAGCAAAACTCCATCTATTTATTCAGTTTGTTTGTTGTTGAAACTCAACAATATTTTACATTCAAATTTATATAATAAATAAATTTTCATAATTTAAAAAATTTGATGAACCCTTTTGAATCATAATGTGATTTAAAATATGTGTTAGTTGTTCAAAAATAGTTCGAAATCAATCATAATAATATTTATATGCATGTATGTACAAGCATATCATAATTATAATAAAAATTTTTTATTTATTAAATAGAGGACTATTGATAATATTGTCTTAATCTGAATATAGTTTTATTAATAATAGATATCAACTAAAATAATGAAATAAAATAAATATATTTCAATCAAAAATTAAGTTCTACTAACAGGTTGAATATTTTAATTCATCAATAAAAAGAGCATTTTAAATTTATTAAGATTTTTTGTTTTAGCAACTTAAAATTGCTATCTGGAGCAGATGTTGCTTGTAATTCAACATAGTTTAGTATTAATATCAATCTTATATCATACGCACACATAATATAATACAGGAATTTATCCAATCTCTCTCTCTCTCTACAAATTTAATATAGTATAATGGTTGACCAAATTGAAAATATGCTACTAAAAGTTAGTTATTTCATCATAAATACCCACAAGCTTACTGATGTTTCTGATATCTTCTACTAACTAATATTTTTTTGGCACGCACTTATAAATAAAACGTTTTTGCTTTCTTTGTTTATTTAATATTCCAAATTAAAAATTGACAGTCATTACTTTATTGATCTGCAAGCAAGTCTTAAAAAATAACAATAAAACTATCAATAATTTTTTAAGTAGATAGGTGGTAAATTATGATCTATTCATCTATTCATCTATCTATCTATCTATCTATCTATCTATCTATCTATCTATCTATCTATCTATCTATCTATTTGATTTTTTACTTTGCTGCTTAATAATAAATATGTTTAACGAGTACTTTTTTTATTTAAAATAATTTTTTGGTAAAATAAACGTGTAAAATTCAAGTTAACAATTTATATAGATGCTAAAACAGATAAAAATCATTTCGCAATAAAATATATATAGCTATCTTATTTTAATATCTACATAGATAGATTGATTGTGTTAATTATAAATGTGTCAAACATTTTAAAAACGATATTTATTATTCAAGTAGGTAATCTATAATATATATCGTCATTTATATTATTTATTTATTTAAATTAATTAGATAATAACTTTAATTGAAATATATCTTTTTTGTTTTATTTCACTCATTTAAAAATAAAAGTTTACTTATTGAATGCATAACTACTTAAAAAATCTAATCAAAACAAGAAAAAATAGTAATAATTGATGTAAATTATCTCAATAGTACATAACTTTCTTTTAAATTCAAAGAATTAACATTTTCATGGATTAAAATATACATTATATATAATGGTAGCCTTATTAGAATATAAATTTGTAAACTTCTTAAACTTTAATAATGACAAGTCTAAAAGTTAGATTTATCTATAAATATTATAACAAAATATTAATAAAATTATAATGAAAGTTAGCTATCTTTATGGGTTTATTTCGTTTTAGAAATTAATAACACAAATAATTTATAAAGGTGTATGAATAAATAAATCAATGAAAATTTACATAATTAATCGAAATGGTTTATTAAATTTTATTGAGATGTGAATTTAAAATATTCAATAACTTACTTAGTAGATTTTATATAGCATAATCAAAAAGCATTAAAATATTATTTCAATGCAATTTCAATGTAAATTTGTACTTGATATTTAAGTAAATCTACATTAATTGATAATAATATGAATTCATATTGACAATTTGTTTAATGTGTAAATTTTGTTTGTTATTTAAAAAGTTGTAATCTATCTTATTTGAGAGGAAAAAAGAGGATAATTGGTGATGCTTTAGAGTATGAACGCTAATTTTTTGAGTCTTTATCTTTTCTATATCCAGATTGATTGATTAATTAATTAATTAACTAAGTAAGTAAAAATTCAATAGATGGGATTGTTCGATTGTAAATTTTGAAGAAAATTAATATTAATTAAATATATCAAAACTAAACGTTACTAATTTTTAAATAATATTCACAAAATCTCCCAATAACTTTATGTGTTTTTGGGCAATTTTATACGAGCTAACAAAATTATTTTAATGTAAAAATAATAATTAATGTCTATTAAAATTAATAGTTAACCCTTGCTGGCTCTATTCAAAAATATTGTTATATCTTTTTTGCATTTACATTTCATTTATTTCACTCATATTTAATTATTTACTATTTGTGTCCTTAATCAAAAAATTTACTAATTTTTCTAAACTGATAAGTTGGAATTTTTAAATTAATAATAAGATTTTTCACTATTTGGTAATTGATTGATCATAAATAATTTTTGATGTCAAGTTAAATGATTAATTTTATTTATTTAAAGTAATACTGAATGATTTTAATTTTATATGAAAAGTGTATGTACTAACTAACTAACTAACTAACTACCCTCTGATAAGCGCTAATTCTCAATTTTATAAAAAATTTCTACTATATTTTGTATTTTTGTTTTATACTCATTTTATTTCCACTTCAAAATCTAATATATAATAAATAATAGGATTCCTTCTATTACATATTTTTTTAATTAAAGATTAGATTTGCTCAGTGATTTATTTGTTAGGGAGGTAGTGTCATTAAAAATGTTTAGTGGGTGTGTTAGTGGTACATAATTTTAATAGATTATATATATCATGTAATTGCATGTTGACCTAAATAATATAAAACATAGACCAAGTAGGTCTTCAAGAAATATTTGAATAAATAAATAGTTACTTACCTCCATTTAATGTATAACCAAGCCAATACTTAGATCTTAAACATAAAAACAAAAATATATAAGGAAACATAATGATAAAAAATCAAACAAATTACAATAACTTTTTAGTGAAAATAATAAGTTAATTCTACTAAATATATTATATAAATCGGATAACTCTCCCTAATCAAACACATGGACTCAAAAACTTTCTTTTTACATCCATAGCTAAAATACAAATATCTAATCTTGCTCCAAAGTAGTTAAATATACACTTGTGGACTTAATTCATTATATATGTACTCTTTGTATATTTAGTAAATAATTAAATATTTTTTTTAATTTTGAAAAATAAAACTTTTTTTAAAAAAAACAATGCTTTTCATATTAATCACACATTAAACATTTTAAAGAGAGATATTTAATAAATATCATGCTTATATAAAATTTAAAAGTAAATACATCAAATTTACTATTTGCAGAACTTATTCGTATAAATTTAAAATCATTTTAATGAATTGTTTTGTAAATCAGTTTTAAAAGATAAGTAAAAAAGACATTCTTATATTATATTTCAGACAAGCAGTTTTATCTTTTTTCCTATTGCTAGTTTTAATTTATCTTTCAAATGTTTCCATTTATTTTCAATGGATTAAGTATGAATGGATTCACTCTAAAATAGTTTTAATTTTTTTTTTTAGGGTTTTTTTCATTTTTTGCTTTGATTGATCTTAAAGCGCCTATATCCTTTGCTCTTTAGAAAGACTTCCCTCGCTCACTTATCCGAAAGATCCACTAGATTCTTCTAATTAAGCTTTCATAATTATACTTTCTCTTTAATGCCCAAAGGCTAAACTCAATAGATCTAATCTTTTTTATTAAATCTAATTTTTTACTAGCAATCTTTATTTTTCATTTTTAAGGAAAATAACTGCCTAAATTCGTCCATTTCTTAAAATTATGATTTTTAATGTTTTTAAATTATAATTTTTTATCAAAAAAATATAGAGTTTAATTTAATATGAAGATAAACTTAATTTTATTCAAAAATCTATGATATAAGAAATGCTCAGAATTGTAAATAATTTAATAATTAATTACAACATTGATACCCTAACTTTTTGAACATAAACTTATATTTCTAAATACTAAAAATACACCGGAGTTGATATTTAAATTTTAGTGATAGATGTAAACATAACATTTTTGAGTTCATGAGTATATGTGTATGATTAGGGAGAGTTATCCTATAAATCCTATCACAATAGTCGATAGACCTCAAAATACGTAAAATAAATTCCAAGGATTCAAAGAATTATGAGATCAAAATAAAATTCCTGACAATCATTCACATAACCTACAGCTTAAAGTTCACTAGAAATGGCAGTAGAAGCACAATCAAATCTTTAAAATTAAATATTACTACAATGATAGTAATAATAAAAAATAAGCCTATAAAAACAAAATATAAAAGAAAAAAATACAAATTAACCCAAATCCAGATAAAAAATACCCTGGTATAGTATCCTTCCTTGAATCCACCTAAGATAATATGTATAAAATCCTTCATAATGAAATAAAATAATCATAAGAGAGTAAAATAAAGTAGAAGTCAATTTAAGAAAAATCAATAAAATTAGCATATTAATGTATGATATAAAGGATATTGGCAACACGACGTCAGAAATAAAGTCCACCATTTTTTCACTTTTACACGTTTTTATTTGTAAAATCTAAAATACCTAAAATTTCAATAGTCCTAATTTTTTAATTGTCCAAAATACAAAAATGCAAAAATATACAATATCTCCCAATGTTTTATAGTCCAAATTTTTTATAGTCCAAATTTTTTAATTGACAAAATTGATCCTGACTATAATTGAATTAGCATATCCAATAAAAAGGCAGAATTATAGGATTGAAATCCATATATATATTAAAAGAAACCTAACTTATATGCTTATTTATCGATTTTCAAGGAGGGGGAAACGTTTTTGAAATATGATTTTCTTTAACTTTGCTTTTGAAATATGAATTTGAATTATTTATATTTTTGAGATCATCATAATTTATAAAAATATTTAAAATCTAAAATTGTTTTATTTAATATTACTAAAAACGTAATCATATATGAATTAAAAAAATCAAATTAATTATTTTTTGAGAATAGAATGGAATTAAGCAAACAATTAATAATATGAAAAATTTAAGATTAAATTATTAATTTATTTTCATTTATAAATGTGCGAAACATTTTTTATTTAAAGTTAGTTTTATTAAATATTTATTTATTTATGGATTGAGTATGTTTGTTTTTTAAATTATTTTATTTTATTATTTGTTTGATTGTTTATTTTGATACCAGGTTGTTCATTTGGCTGAAATTGATCATTTTAATTCAGCCCTCATTCTCTCTCTTCTTAGTTTTCTACATGGTCCACATAATTCAGGGAAATCTGTTCTTTTCATTAAGAACCAGTATGTTGAAGATTTGAAAACTGTATTGCAAGAAGTGCATTGTGCTGATTTTAAAGTAGCTTGTCTCTTTTAATCGCATGAAGGACAGTACTTTTCAAAACACTGCTCTCTCTTGTTGTACAAAAATCCTGCTGTTGTTTAGAATGGAACTTTGCACAGATCACACATGCAATAGACCTACTTTTTAGGGTCTGAGGGTTTAGTCAAAACATTATCAAAGAATTTTAAGTTCTTAGGAATTTAACTAATGTTGGGATGTACTAAGTTCAAGTTTTGACAATATTTGTTGCACTAGTGAGATAAGAAGAATTTAAACATACCCTAATATCCAAGATTTCCAGCACCAAAACGGTGTTGGTCAAGACAATGAATTTAAGGGTCAGTCAAAAGACCACCTACTCCTTGTAAGTCTACAATCATGAGATAGCCTTCTGTTAATTGATAAGAGAAATGTGATAAAGCTTGAGAAAGAAGACCTGGTTCATCGAATCTGAGGTTTGTCCAGCCAGCGTTGTTATTGAACTTTACATATTCTCCTTAAATATAGTTTTCAGCAGAATAATATTTGTAGTTACTTCCTGGGTTTTGTAATTCGTAAATGAAACAGTGGACAAAGTTCTTTAGGTTAGCAGTTGTTTGAACATGCTCAGAAACGCGATCGTTAAAGCAGTTAACAATGTGCTAACAAAGGAACTAGCTTTCTAAATCCTTGATCATGTCTTCCTTGTCCTATTCTGGGTTGTTTAAGTTCTACTTTTTGTTTAACTTAGCAACCAAGTTCTACTTCAAAAGAGTGTCTTCAGCGAAGAAGGCGTATCTCATAGCACCTTCAGCAAAAGGAGTTGTGTTGATTCTGATACTGGTCTTGATTGAGGAGTTCTAGACAAGAGGTTTTCTCCAGTTAATTGGGACACCTTTATCTTGAACAATGAAATAGGTGTGACAAATAGCTTTCATAGATTGAACGCTATTTGGAATATTAAAAATCTTGGAAGGAGAGACAGTAAAAGTAACTTCTTTTATATTTTTGTTATGTCTTGCTTAGTCTTGTCCTACTTCTTCGTTAGTGTTAGTCCTGAAGTTATACCTTTCAAAGAAATTCACGCTCTAAGCTGTTTACATTCCTTCGCATATTTTCATAGCTTTGAAGAAAGCTCCTTCAGGGTCATCTTTGCTTTCCTTTGTGTAGGATTAAGATAATGTTTAAGAAGCGGTCTAAGAAATGAATTGACCAAATCCTTATGTGCTATTTCCTAATTTAGTAATGTCTAATTATTATCCATTAACTTCTTTGTTATATTGTTAGAAAATGTCGTACATCATTTTAGTAGAATTCATAATCTCGACAGCATACAATTTGACTCCTTTTTTAATTAAATTTTAGAACTCTTTTTTCAAGTCGATGCCATCTGGATCTCCTTTGGGATATCTATCATAGAAATCAGCTTTATCTCCATGATATTAGATACCATGAGCAGGAGCATCAGCAAGAAGGACAGCGTATTTAGCTTATGATTTCCAATTTTGGGAATTAGCTTGTTTGAATCCACCTGCTACATCTTCAGCTGCGTCATTACCTCCACAAGCTTGGACTTTTGAAATAAAATCTTAGAACTTCTCCAAATCTTCAGAAAAGTTAAAGATGCTGTAACGCTCAGAATCTCCATAATCACGATAACCAACAAAGCTAACCCTGATTTAACTGCCATGGTGTTAGTTCTTAATAGCTGCAACAATGCCTGTAATTTCAAGCTTGACTGCGTCAATCCAAGAACTCATAGAACCAGTACAATCAACAATAAACATTAAATCGAGTTCCATTTTTGGGAACAAACTTTAAAAGATTGGAAGGAAATAAGTCATGTCATCTTTCAAGAAATGGAAGTTAGTAATGAAATTTCTAGCTTCTTCATTCTTTGAGTAGTATTAATCTATAAATTACTTGACTTGGGCAGGTAATTCCTTCTTAATAACTACAGTTTTTGGTGTTTATTTGACATAATCTTATTTAGTTTCTTCAATCTCTTCTTACTATTCGTTCTTAATTTCTCTCTTTTTAGGATTTGTTGATCTACTTTTTTAATTATTTTGTGATATATCTGAATTATTATTGATTTCTGATTTCTCTTCTTCTCTTCTCTTTCCTTTTGTTTCATCAAAATTCTTGTCCTTGTTATTGCTTTTATTATTTGTATTTCTTTCAGCCTTGTCTCTAAAAGTTTTTTTTGGTTAAGATTCTACTTTCTTTTCAACTACAGTGATTGGTTTAACCTCTCTAAAAATTTCAGCTTCACCCCAGCCAACCATAGAAGTAGAAAAAGCAATAGGCTTGCTTATTTTAGGAACCTCAACTTTTTAACTTCCATCAACGACAGAGTCGTCTTTAGATTCTTCTTTGTTTTATTTTCTAGACTTTCTCTCCTTCTTTTGTTCAGTTTAAGGTCTTTTAGGCACTTCTTAGTGGACAACCTTAATGGGACATCTTGATTCGTTAGGGCAAAAATCGATGGTTTAGTCATGTAAAAATTCACATCTTTCTTCTTTCTTGCATGATTTAGTAGTTTAAAAATAATGGCAATACAGCCTTGAAGATTTAGATCTACCGCTCATTTTATTTTCAAGATTAAAGTAAAGATAGAATTTTTATAATGTTTTTTAATTATTTATCAAAAAATATTTGGTTCTGTTTCTTAGAATATAAAGCAAACAATACGATATCTAATGTGTCTATATATCTATATTTTGTTGTTTCTACTCAAATTTATTGTGTCTATAAAGATTAAATAAAATTATAAATTTAAATAAATCCACATATTGATTTATTTTTTTTTAAATGTCTCTTTATTAACTACCTACTTTTGTTAATCTTAATATTTACCATCATAAAGATAATTCAATAAATAAAGTGGATCGAAATGAATATCTTTATTTTTGAAATAATAATAATTTTAAACTATTAAATTTTATTCAAAACTAATTAAATGTCTAAAAAAAGTTAGTTCTACTAACTTATATATTCAAATTTAATTTTTTTATTATATAAATACTTTTTGATTTTAGCTTTCAGATAACAATAAAATAGGATCATTTTAATTTTATATTTTTTTTAAATATGTTCAAATAAAAATATTTTAAGTTTAATTAAATTATTTCATTCATTTAAAATAATAATAAATAATTTAAAAAATTATTAAATAATTATAAAATGTTATAAATCATACTAAAAAATAGTAAATTTAAACATACTTTAAAATTATAAAAAATTAATTTACAAAAATAAAATATTTTTTCGATTAAAGTAATCATTTAAAAAAATTTAAAATCTGAATTTTTTTAAAATATTTTAAATCCTATCTATCTATCGCCTGCCTATCTATCCTTCCATTTATCCACCCATCAATCAATCAAACTTACTATACCCTAAAATAAAAGTGTATTTTGCTTTAATTATTGTTATTAATTCAAGTTGTAATATTTTTCCAAAAATTTTTAGCTTTTAAAAATGTTTGTATGGCAACTTTCAAAATTTACATGAATTAAATTTGGTTCTGTTGTAAAATCAAGACATATTTATGGCTTGAATATAGAAGGATGCTAATTAAAAGGTATAACTTAATTGTAAATTCCTAAATATTACTTATTTGTTTTTTAAGTTGAAGCATTTGTAAATGACAAATAATAAAAACGAATAAACAATTAATTAATTATACTAAAATTTTATATTCATGTAATTTCTTTTCCAAAGCATTTTATTTCACTCATTCTATCTAAGATATGACATTATGTAGGTGTTTTAAATCAAAACTTACTAAGGAAAAATGTCAAGAAGTTCTTTTGTTGAAAAAATTAAATTATTAATTACTCTTATGTAATAAAACCAGCTAACAGAGAAGATCAATGCCACAAAAGTCACCTAAAAGATGAAAAGGATTATAGAAATACTTTAATAGTAGTTATATAGCTATAAATTTTGGTCTTAAAAAAAATTTAAGAGATACTCATGGGCCTTAGATAATTCTATTTTAAACTGAAATTATTTCATAGCAGGAGTATTAGAATTAAAATTATTAAAATTTTGTTAAAAGGCAGCTGCATTATAACTATATATAAAGGAAGTAAAATCTTTGTAGAGATTTATATAGAAAATGATCCCATTAAGCAATCCTTATTTGAGAGAACCTTTAGCCACGCTATTGCACTGATCATAAAGAAAATCTCCGTTTTAGTATTGAGTATAATTTTACATAGTATCACACGCATTTCCAGAATAAACACCAATTAAATAATCTATAAAAATTTATTTGTTGTAAATTGAAGTTGATTCTACTTTTCCAATATTCTAATTAATTAAATTAGGTAATGAATCTATATACGTAGTAACATCTTCAAACAGTCCTTAAAAGCTTGATATTGCAATAGATTAACTCTGAGGTAATAAGAAAGCAGTAGCCAGACCTTACCTGGCTCTAAGCGAATTAACAATTGTAAAGTACGACAAGCAGACAGTGTCTTAAAATTTATTTTATAAAATTAAAATTAAATATAAATTAAAATTAAACATATAAATTAATTTATAAATTACTGTTGAAATCGTAGATAGTTGTTGAGTTATCGATGAAGATTTTTATGATTATGTAGTTAACAACAGGATAGATCATAATAAGACAGAAGATAGTAATTAATCCTATTGCAAGGAATTTAATTGAGTATTATAAAGAAGAAGTTCTACTAATATTTAGTTTTTTTTCTATAATCACTTAAGCTTATGCTTATCTGGATATATGAGTTTGATTCATATTTGAATAGTTTGATCTTGATCCAATAGTCTAGTTTTTATCAAATCCTTGATAAAATGATAGTTGATAAGTTAATTGCCCTAAGATTTCTTTGAGAGATTATGGATCAAAGGTTGCGAATAACTCCAATATTTTTTGTTATCGAAGCTTGGCAAATATGTAGCTTGGAATTATGCTACATAAAAATATAAAAGTAACCAATAGGACAACGTATAATTGGATAAGACTTTGATTTTAGATAGAATCAAATTAATTTTAATATTAACTATTTAGCGATTATATGACAGACTGAACTTAATTATTCAAATTAGGATAATTTTGCTCATTTTATTACTCAAATAGTCTAGTTGGATCTTAATTAGAAGCTAAATAGTAAATTCCAGCACTCTGTAAAAGTAATGAATACGTAAAAGATAGGTTATATTGATCGTAACGTTATTTGTTGTAATAAATATTTTAAGAAATTAATTTACTTTAAATGATTTTAAATACCTAAATATCAGTAGAAGTAGTGTTATACTATACAGCTATAAAATCTTTTGTTAAATTAATTCTTGATTAATATTAAGTCTTAAGAAGCTAATTAAATGCTTAAAAGGAAGATGAAGGAGTTTTTAGTAGTCCATTTTAGTTTAGCTCATAAATGTAGTGCTCTGATAATGCATAGCTCATCTAAATATTGATCAAATAAATCCAGTTTATGTATTTAAAATTCTCCCTTTAAGAAATCAAGCTTGTGAGAAAAGTAAAGAAACCAGAAAAGGTCAAAGAAAGTGTTACTAAAACTGAAATTATCCCAATAGCATTTATTATTTTTAGATAACTCATTTATTTTTTAGCATGAATCATCTCAAATAAATACCTTTTTTTATATTTTATTTATCAATTTTTTTGAAATTATAATATTAAAAAGTTAAAATTTCAATTATTTTTAATTAAAAGTTTTCAAAAATTTGTTAAAACTTGAATTTTCTGTACCTATACAGTTGATGATATTTTAATTTCAGGAATAGTAATACAATTTAAATAATTTGATTTTGTAAAAAGCTGAAAAAAAATAAATTAAATAGTATTTAAATCTATCATTTGTATTATTTACTGTGTTTGCACAGATTTTGTTGAAGATGAAACCGACTGCAAATCTTTGTTTTATCTTTTCTGACTCTCTTCTTGGGTTATTGGAACCTTGCTTTCTTTTATCGTTGACTTATCTTTCTCCTTTTCCCCTTACATAGTTTGATTTTAAGCTAAAGTTTTTTATTTTCTTTTAAATGCTGTAAGTTAAAATGCGCTCTTTGTAGATAGTAATTAGTTATGAGATTGCTCTTTTGAGTTCTAAATCTAAAAATCCTTTTCCCTTGAATCTAAGTTATCTTTAAATAGTGTTGACTTTAAATTAGAATTGAAAAGAATATCCTAGCTATTTAAATTTTCATATTGTTATCCATTTTTGTTAGTGTCTTGAGCTGCAGAGATGTTAAAAATTTATTCAGGTAGCTTGCTATCATCGAATAAATGTTATTGATTATAATTATTTGATATTTCTTCTTGGTGCAATTTATCAACTTTTAGATTTTATTCAAAAAAATCTGGTGTAGAAACTTCTATTTTTTTTTATGTTATACTCATCTCTTAATAAATTACTTCTTCGTTATTTTTACTTTCAGGAGAATCGTTAACTTATTTACTTAAATTTTATTTCAAATTTTGATAGTCTTATTATTTATTTTGCTCTACTTCAATTACATTTTATTTTAGAGAATGTAGCAAATTTAATTAATCTTAATTTGAGATAAGTATATTTGTAGAATTCTAATTGCTATCTTTGACTTAGATTTAATTTTACTGCTAAAATTAATCAGATATATTTTTGGCTATTTAGCTACTCTACTTTTAGTAAGCATTTGAATTGTCAATACTACTATAAAGGTTTTGTATTGGTAAATAATTTTCATTATTAAATTAGTTATTTCCTCTAATTTCTGATTCTTAGAAGCTTTTAACTACCTCTAGATTATATTTTTAATATTAATCATTATTTTACTAATAAGACTTCACTCTATAATCGCTTAGCATATCTTCTTCGTAGCTAGAATCAAAGGGTAATTAAACACCACAAAACTCTTTAATTTGATTCTAAAATAGCTAAATATATTAAACTTTATCCTTATAAGTGTAGAGACACTAATAATTTTCAATGATCACATTCACAAAAGAAGCTAGTTTTGTGTCAAAACATTAAATTGATAAGGTGATCATATATAATTAAGCAAATTTCAAACTGTTGAGAAAGTTATTGTCTTTCAAATTAGCCTTATTTTGTGCTTCGAATTTATCATATGGCTAAATTAAAATGGTTTCAAATTTCTTGCCTTATTCTATTTTACTTACCTTGATTAAACCATCAATAATAGGAATTAAGCTGTCCATCCTAACGTTTTTCAAATTTTAAAGTGTAAAATTTTCATACAAAAACTCTTAGCAGAAAATTTTGCTAGCAACTTTTATTTGGGAGTGGTCTTTGTAATCTAGCATCACATATAAATTGTCATCTTTAATTGGCTTAGCCCAGATTGTTACTCCAAAATCTTAGGAATCAATTATTTGACTTTGAAATTTTAATTAACAAGGAATAGAGTATCCCTAACAGTTTTGAGCAATAAAAAGAGGTAGATTGAATATTTCGTTGTAAAGAGACAAGAAATTTTCTGTAATTATTTAAGAAGCCATGTTCTCAGTTTATTTTTTTAAAAAGTTGTCTGGCAAAACTTACTTTATAGATTTTCCAACAAGTTAAGATTTATTTGCAAAGCCAAAGGACTTAATAAATGACCTGTTTGCTTTATGTACCATGCCAAAATTCTTTTCAAGGAGTGAAACAAATATAAAACAGCTCGATTTGCTGTAGTATTCTTTGTTTTTTAATTATTCACTTTGTATCCGATTGTTATTTTCATAAAATTTTAATAAAGATCTCTTGTGCAACATATAAAAATCAAAGTTAATACAGAGATTTTTCAGAGTCTCACTCAAACTATTTTATTTCAACTACTATATAATGATTTTTTCTAACAATACTCTTTCTGCTCTGTACTACTTAAGAAGTTCAAGCATTTCATTTATGTCAACATAGTTCATAGATAATTTTTCTACTACAATTCTGTACTGCCTCATACACTCAAAATATGACTATTATATTTTGTTCATATCCTCTTCAAATTATAAAATATGCTATAATTGAAATTATTCTTTCACTTTTAATCTGCTATTATTTAGCTGGGCTTGAATTTCTGCTTGATTCATTATTGTTTGCATCTTCTGTAAATCTTTCAATCCTAGTCGCAGTTTTTAGTTTGATTTTATATTGAGGATTTGTATGTAAGACATGCAGGAATTTAAACTGAGAGTAGACAGGAAAGTCAAATATGAAAAGTGAAGATCAGAAAGATTATTTTTAAATTTTTTAGAATCAGAGTTATCTTTATAGATTTTAATAATTGTATTCATTATATTTTCGTTAAATATTTCACTGACGGTTTCCTTTTCATCATATATTTACTTGATTTGATTGATCAATTTTATATTTTCCTGTTTATTATTTAAAACCTTTAAAATTAAATAATTTTCTATCATTTTGAATTTACCTTTTTTGTGCTTCCAAAGAATCCAGTATTTGCTTGTATTTCTTAGCTTTCTAATTATTATTATTATTCACCCTATAAAATTTGATGAGATGCAAAGACAAAAGCCGAATCTTAAATGGCAGAGACAAATTTTGTCTTCTCTTAGATACTATGGAAGAGAAGCCTACAAAATATATCAGTCTTTTTATTTTCATCATCCAAAATATATCTAAATATACTGAAACTTTGGATTTATTAATTATTTTATATAATTTCTAAGTTAATGTAGTTGTACCAACTAACAAAAATGTAATTTCCTAATTTATATGAAATTGGAAAGATGACCAAGCAAGATAAAAATAAAAGACTCTGCTATTCATCATCCCTTGTGCAATAGACAATCATGGGAAGAATTAATGTAGCTCTGAATAAAGAAAAATTAATACTCCATCTACATATCTCTCTATTTAAATAGCAATGAGTTTTTAAGATGATGAACAACTTCAGCATGTTTATAACAAAAAAAACACCTGTTAATATATAAATATCGAAAAAACAGCTTGCTATAGACAAAGTCAAATCAAGGTGGAACATAGTAGGATTTAAGTGAGAATCACATTTCTGTAATACATCTGAATTGCAAAACTTGTAATCATAATCTAGAGAAATAAGTAGAGATCCTAAGAGTTTATATATGATAAAAATGGATGAATTTTTTGTAAAACCTAAACAAATATGTGAATAATACCTATAAAAACTGTTAAAATTGCATTTATTATTGAGAGGACATGTTAGTAATTGGAAAGAGAAATGTAAATTGAAGGCAGAGCAATTAGATATTCATAGCATTGCAATAATTAAGACATAAATTCAAATGAGTTTCTCTTAATTCTACTTTTGAAAGAGAAAGTAATCAAGAAAAATAAAATAATAAAACAATTTATAAAGAAGAAAATGAGAACAGCTGTGTAAAGTTAGTTTTATGAAGAATTGCTTTGTGAAAAATCTTTTAAGAAAAATAAGTATTTGACAAACTAAGAAAAGATTTGCTCATTGCTAGCTAAATCTTCATAAGTTTTGTTGTCGATACATAGCTAGCATAATACAAGTTAATATATAGAAAATATTAAAGTAGAAAAAAGAGCGTTCCTTCTACTTTACTTGAAAAGGCGATATATATCATTTATATAATAGTGTTTTAATTCCTAAATTATTGGATTCGCCATTTGCTAATCTATTGTTTTAAATTAGAAGAAACGTTGCATTATTTTGATAATCTTTACTGCTTTTCCTGCTACAAAACCTTTATATATCTACTTAATAGCTTTTACTTTACTTGTTATTTTATTTGTTTTCTTTGTTATTATTAGCTTTATAGTTATTTTGCATGTATTAATAAAATTAGAAGCTATTTAAATTTCAATATTAATCCTTATTTAATTCAAATGAAAACTGAAAACAATCAATAGAAGTTTAAAAGAAAATAGTTGACATTAATTCTTACTAAGGAATTTAACAATATTCAAAAAAAAATTTGACTTATTTAAAAATCATATAAATTTATTAAGAAAAGTTATTAATAAAATACTGAATTGAGTTATTAATATAAAGTTGATGTAACATTAATTTTTTTGTCATAAAAACTGACTGATTGACTATCTCTATTCAAGTTATTGCCTTATATTTTGAAAAGGATTATTTAAATATTTTTTTCTTCTAAAAGAAAAACTTTAAAAGAAAGCAGCAATTAATCTATCTTTTCATATAAATAAATTAATAAATAATTCAGTTAATAAAACCAAATTATATTAAGTGAGTACTAACTATTTATATTTATTGTTTGATAAAATAAATTTCATAAAAAAAGATTAAGAATGTAGGCTAAGGAAACTATAATGCAAATCAAAGGTTCTTAAGCGCTGACATTTTCATAAATTTAGTTCATAAAATTAAAACTAAAAGTAGCCTCACAATAATTTACAGTTGATAGGTTTTTGGATCATTTAAAAAATAATAAAGTAAAAGCATGTAATCTAATGATCTATATCTAAGAAAAATGTATTTTTGAAGCTAAATAAAAAATACTTTTCATATTTAAGTTTAATAGAAGGTATTAAAGACAATAAATAATGAGTAACGCAAAATAATTATTTTTATAAATACTTAGTGAATAGCTTTAGTACTTCTTTTTCAAACCAAAAAACATTTAAATAGAGGGGACTTAATCATTCTATAACTTATATTTTATAAAATTTGCAAACAAAGAAAAGCTAATAAATTGCAAAAATTTGAATTGAATTTGAAGATAAATCCCTCTCAAAAACAAATTTAAAAAAATCGTATTTGTAAGTAAACTAAAAAAGTCGATTAAAAAGGGTTAACAAATATTTCTACAAATAAGTAAAATACAAATTTACACTAACTAAAAGCTTTTCATTTGAGAACACTGATCATTCATTTTTACGTAAATATGACATTATATAAGTATTTTAAATTAAAGTTGTTTAAGGAAAGATATCCAAAAGTTGTTTGGTACTAAAAATGATATTGTTTATACTGCTAAAATAGTAATACCAACTAACTGAAAAGATTAATATGACAAAAGACACTTAGAATGCGACCAAGACTATAGCGATTTTTTCATAATAATCGTAAAGCTATTAGTTTTAATCTTAAAAGAAATTCATGATATACTCATGAGCTTTAGACAATTCTACTTTGAAATAAAATTGCGAATAAGCAGCGCTGTTAGCATAGTATTATTTTAAACCAGCTTAAAAAGTTTAAAGATCATAGCTGAAAGCAAAAGATGCAAAATCTTTCAATACAGAAATGAATTAAAATACACCATTAAGCAGACCTTTTTAAAGGGAACCTTTACCTACTGAGTTACACTAACTGTAAAGAAAGTCATTATTTTAATATTGTGTAAAATTATTCATTGTATCACATGCATTTCCAGTGTAAACATTCTTTAGAAAACTCTAATAAATTTGGTTATTATACAAATTGCTTTAATCTATTTAGGTTAAATTTTGATTTATCATGTCAGGTAAATCTTTTAATGTATCAAGAATATCTTCTAAGGAACTTTAATATTAAGATACAGTTACTGCTTAATCTTAAGGCATCAGAAAAGCTACTAACAAACCTTACCTTGATCTGTTAGTGTTGGCAACAATAAAATATGTTTTGCACACAACATCTAATTTATTATTGAAATTAAACATTCAAATTTGTTTATGAAAAAATAAAGAGTTCTTTTTAAAGTAAATTTAAATAGAAATTGACTTATTTTTAAAAAAATAAATGAAATTTAAAGTAAAAAATTAATTAAAATTATGAATAAAAAAAGTATTTACTGTTAAATTAGAAGATGATATTTGAATTATTTATGAAATCCCTAACTGTAACATAGAAAACGCTTGGGTATATCATAATTAGACCAAATATCAAAATTAGGGCTAATGCGAGATACTTGACTGAATATTAAATAACTGATGTTCTACTTATATTCAATTTCTTTTCTACATTAACAATTGCTTATGCCTGTTTAGAAATGTGAGTTTAGTTCATATTAGAAAAGTTAGATTTCGACCCAATAGTTTGATTTTTATCAAATCCTCCATAGAGTGTTAATTGATAGGTTAGTTAGCCTAGTATTTCTTTCAAAGTAGCAGGGTCAAATGTAGCAAAGAGCTCTAATATTTTTTGTTACCTAAGTTTGGTGAAAATAAAGCTTGGGATGATACTGACTAAGAAAAGTAAGGAAACAATAAGAACAACATAAAGCTGAATTAAACTCTAACTCAAAATGGAGTCCAGTTATGTTTAATACTGGGTACTCAACTAATCAAAAACAGCTGTGACTTAATTATTAATTGTTGGGTAATTAATTCTATTTTGTTTGTATATAATTCTGTATGGATCTAAATCTTAAATAAAATAAAAGAGACCTTCTATTTACAAAAGAATTGAATACAGCATAGAGATATTGTATTGTTGATATGTATTCAGACTTTAAAAAATTTTTTGAGGTAAATACTTTTACTAAATAATATTAAACACTTAGATATCTGGATTGGTGTTATTATAGAGTAATAGCATTTCTTACGAGCTTTTATTAATTCTAGATAGGTTTTCTTACATAAGTGATTCACTAAATGTTTAATTCATAGATTATGGAGTGTATAAAAAGTTATTTCTATTCAGTTCTATTAAGTAGCGTTCTGATAAAGCGTAACTTAAATTTATATTTATCATATAAACCCAGTTTATGAACTTGAAATTCTCTCTTTATGAGATCAAGCTAAAAAGAAATGTAAAAAATCCTGACAAAGTCAAAGAAAGAGTTATTAACACAGATGCAATACCAATAAAGTTAATGACTTTAAGATAGCTTATTTATCTTTTAGTATGAATCATTTCAAATAAATATCTTTTTTATTTTAAATAAAAATTTATTTTTTTATTTCATCAGCTTATTCAAAAAGTTTTTAATTTTCTTTTTTTTTATTGAAAAATTAATTTAAAATATTTTTGCTTTTTTCACTTTTAAATTGAAAAAATTTTCTTTTAATAGAAATCAAGATGTTTTTATTAAATTTTCTCTATCTAAATTAATTCCAACCAAATAAATTTATTTTAAAGGTTTATGCCAGAAAATAAAATAAATAAATTTTACTTGTTTTCAACTGATTTACTTGACGAAGAAACTGATTGTAGATCCTATTTTTTTTGTCTTCTACTTCCACCATCTTACGTGAAAGGATTTTTGCTTTCCTTCAGATTACTTTTTTCTTTATCTTGCTCTTAATTATCTTCTTTTTTAGTACCAATTGTTTGCTACTTTGATCTAAAGGCACTATTAAATTGTAAACCATGCTTACTAGAAAGTAATTGATTAGCAGAATGCTATCTTGAGTTAAATTCTTAGACATTGAAAGTGTTTTTCGAGTTAAATTCTTGGTTTTCTTCTTAAATAACCATAATATCATCATATTTAGCTGCTTAATATTTTTTATTAGAATGATATAGAGCTTCGTTCGAATGGTGGACATCATTAAAGTTATTTAACTAGCTCTCATCTTTTGTTAGCTATTAGTCTTGTTAAAAATTATTATTGATCAAGCTATTACCTAAAAATAGACTGCTATTTAAATTGCTTAACCTATGTTGCTAATTAAAATTTTAATGGTTGCTATTGCTATTGTTATGGTTGTTCTAAACCTTTTCATTCAGTTCAATTCTATCAGAACTCTAAATATTTATTAACTTGCTATCATTAATATTATCGATGGGATTTTCTTTTTACAATGAACCCAACAATAAGATTTCTTAATTTAAATCAACAATTTTTTGAATGTTCTTTATTTCAGAAGTTTCCTTAATGTTGTCATTTGTTGAGTAGCGGCTTGGTTTTAATTTCAAATTTGAATTACTCTATTCTGTATTTATATTACTTTGCATCAGATTATCTGCTGTAGACTCATTTTGGTTCGTATTCTAACTAACTTTACGAGTTTACTGCTTTACAACTCTGCTCTTAAAAGAATTTTCAAAATAATAAGATTTTGCTCTGATATCGCTCATATTATCTTCTTCGTAGTTAGGATCGAATTACAATTAAATTCCACATAATTCTTTTATTTGATTTTAATACAATTAAATATATTAAATCTTATCCTTCAAGTAGTATATTGGCTCGTAGTTCTCTATGATCATGTTTACAAACTGCGCTAGCTTTGAATCAAAGCTCTAAAAGTGAACAGTCACTTAGAAGATATTCTAAAACTTCAAATGATTTAAGAAATTCGGGTCTTTAATATTCGATCTAGACTATGCTTCAACTCTATCAAAAGGTTAAATGAGAATGGTTTCAAATTTTTTTCCTACTTCTATCTTGCTTGTCTTAATTAAATCATCTATTATGGGAATTAAGCTGTCCATTCTCAAAGCTCGTTAGAATTGCAAATTAAAATTATCATACATGAATTCATCATAAAATATTTTGCTAGCAACTTTAATTATTGAGTGGTCTTTGGAATCAAGAAGGACGTAGAGATTATCATCTTTAATTGGCTTTGCCCATATAGTGACTCCAAAGTCGTTTTAGTCCACAATCTAACTTTGAATCTTTAACTGTAATGGTATCGCATATCCTAAGGAATTCTTGCCTATAAAAAGGGGTAAATGAAAATATTAATTATACAGAGAAAGGAAGTTCTCATTTATTATTTTTGAAAGCACGCTTTCTTACGATTTTTTAAAGAAGTTATTTGGGAATATTTACAAAATAGATTTGTTTAAGACTTGAGACTTATTGGCAAAGCCGAATGCTTATATAAATGCTCTGTTTGCCTTTTAGACAATACCAAATGATCTCTCAAGCAGCGAAACATAAATAAAACAGCTTTGCTTACTGTAATACTCTTTGGTCTTAAGCTGTAAAATCGATTATCTGTTTTGCTTTTCATAGAACTTAAGCAGAGACTAATTATGGAGCATATAATAATCAAAGTTTATGCACAGATTCTTTAATGATTCGCTGTGACTGTTAAACTATAACTACTGTTTGATTTTATTCTCTAAATTACCTCTTTCATCTCTGTATTACTTCAAAAGAATTAAAATTTCGTTGATATCTATAAAACTCATAGACAACTTTTCAACAGCCATTTTGTATTATCTCATGCACTCAAAATATTGCTTTTAAATTTTATTCATTTCCTCTTCAAATTTTAATATGTGGTACAATTAAAATTCATCACCTTTTTTAATTCTTTTTTAGTTTAGCATAGATTGAATATCAGCAAGTTTCATAATGTTTTTCATCTTTTGTTAGTCTTTCCATCCTAAACGAAGCTTTGTGTTCGACTTGATATTCAAGATTTAAGTGTAAGAAAGACAAGAATTTAAGTTCAAAGTAGATAATAAAGTTAGGTAAGAAAAATGTAATTCAGTTAACTAAGAACTTTTAGATTTTTTTTTATTCAAAATAGAATTATAAATCTTTATTATAACCTATAAAGACTTTGAATTAAATGTATCATCGACATTGGCTGAGTTATTTTCAATAAATTCTTCTTTCTCTTTAAGCTTGTCTTTAAGCTTGGAAATGGTTTTAGTTATTTACTATTATTTAAAAAAATCATTTTTTTCAAGTCATAATTTAATATTTGATTTAAAGAAATTATTTATGAGTATCGAGCGCATTTTTTTTTGCTGTATGTGAGCACAAAAAATTATTTTCGATATTTTTTATTTTAAAAAGGAATAAAATGAAAATAATTTTTGTGAAATAAGCATAGGCAAATTAGAAATTTTCACTAAATAATTAATAATTATGAAATTTAGTTAATAACTTAAAATGATATTATTTTAATAGAAAATTTTACACAAAAAAATATTTAATTATTTAATAATAATAATAATTTTAATTTTAATTTATTACTAAAGCAAATATTTTGGTTTAGATAGAATTAAAAAAATCAAGAAAAAAATAAATTGATTTTATTTAATAAAAGCAATATCAAAATTTATATAATAAAAAGAAATTAAGTGAAAAGTTCTATTAATAATGAATAATTTATTAATTTTTTGATTTACATTTTTTTTATCAGTAGGATTTCTGAGGAGTAATTAAGTTTCTTCTTTTTTTGAATTTTCTTTCTCTTCTTCATCTAAATAATATACCTGCTAAGCAAATATGAATGTTGAATTCTTTACTTAATTTGAGAATTTAATTTTTTCTTTCAAATTATCAACTAAAAGTCTGCAAAATATATCTATTTTTTTATTTTCGTTATTTTCATCAAGAATATTATTGAATAGGCTAAAACTTGATACATGATTTTCATCAGCTACACTATCAAGGCTAATATAGTTATACCAATTAACAAATAGTATATTTCCTAACTTATACGATATCGGAAACATAACTAAGCTGACTAAAAATAATAATTCTTGCATTTCTCCCTATAGACAATAGACTAGCAAAGGAAATATCAAGCATATTTTCATTAAAGAAAGAATAATCATCCATCGACATGCTTTTTTATTGATATAAGTGTGGTTTCTTAAATTAATAAATAACTTCAGCACGTTTATAACAAATGAGCATCCTATATTCACATAAATGTCAAAAAAGCAACTAGTAATACAAAGAACTAAATTCAAGTGGAAAATTGTTGGGTTTAAATGAGAGTCGCTTTTTTACAATAGGTCTTCTTCTAAGAATTAGTAATCATAATCTAGAGACACTATTAGTGATCCTATTATAATTCAAATGAGAAGAAATGAAGGATTTTTGCTATATTGATAGTGTTTTACCTATAAAAATAGTTATTGGAATGTTAACGAATGACAAATAGAACTAGTAATTAGACAGAGAAATATAGAGTGAAGGTAGAGAAATGATGTACTCATAACTTTGGAGCAGTTGTGAAACTATTTCAAACTTATCCTTTCTAATCCTGTCTCTAAAAATCAAATTTATGAACAAAAAAAGAAGAATAAAGCAATTTAATGTAAAAAATGCTATAACTGCGTAATCCTATTGATGCTAATTCCTTGTACTATTTGTAAATTCTTTTAAAAAGAAGACATACTCAATAAAGTTAGAATATATTCCATTATTTGACGTTAATTGATTATAAGTGGAGTTATCTAACTGCATTTAGACGAGCGTTAATTAGTAAAAGCAAAATAAAAGAATGGAAAAGTGAATGTTCCTTTTGCTATTCTTTACGATCTCGTATATATCATTTATGTAAAAATTTTTAATCTCTTCAACTATGGGATTTGCCGCTTGCTAGTTATTTCCTTTAAATTAAATATGAGAATTCATTTGATAATAGATAGAATTTTGTTTGTTATTCTTAAATTAATTGCGAAATAAGTTAATTAAATCTTCTTTTCTTTCTTTTTTGTTTGCAAATAAATTTCCTTTTAAATTAAAACTTCTACTTCCAAAATCAATTAAATCAATCAAATCAAATCAAATAAATTACTAATTTAAATTTGTTGGAAGTCTTTAACTCAGTTCAATTACACTTTTGGTGATCAAACACTTAATAATTCATTCATCGTTTAATCATTTATTTAAAACAAACATAACAAGAAATTAATAACAGTAGATTATGCAAGTCAATTTTAATTAACTTTTTTGAATGAATAAACAAAACAAATCATTCATTTTTAAACTTTTCAGTTTAATCGATCTACCTTTCATTATTCATTTTTATTATCATCATTTAAAATTCAATAAAAAAATAAAGTGATTTGATTTATCAATATATCAAAAAGTAGTAATTTAAATATTTATTTTTATTTTTTCATGCATTAAGTTATTTAAAATAATTCATTAAATTTTACAAAATGTTAAAAAAGTGTACTTTTAACTTAAATCTAACATTTTAAATAATAACTAAAAAATGATATGTTGTCTTATTACTTTGAATGAAAATATAATAAATAGCACTCTTTATGTATGATGAATAATAAATATATTAAAATTTTATTAAAACAAAATAAATTACTTTTCAAGCAAAAAAATAACTTTTTAAGATTTTAAGAAAATAAAATTATTTTTAAATTTAATAAATAAAAAAGAATAAAATTTAATTAAATAAAATTTTAGTTGATGAAAAATTAAAATAAATTAATAAAATGAAAGAATAAGCAGTCATAAACGAACGAAACAAGCAAATCACTCATTCAACGAATGAATGATATTGAAATTCAGAAAAAATAGAAATGGATTGGATTAGATTGATGAATGAATGAACTGATGTAAGGAAAAAATAAATAAAATTGAAGAATGATTTTAAATGTGAGAAATGAGATAGAAATGTGGGTATACAGACATAATTGTATTTATATATATACAATAGAATAATTTTGAATTTTATTATGAATATTTATATTATTAAATAAATTTAATAATATAGTAGGTGAGATTATTTATTATTGGAAGAATTATAAATTTATTGATTTCTAATAATAAATTTTAGAAGTAAGAAGAAAAATTGGATTTGTTCAATTAATCATTTCACTTAATACTAAACTATTAACTCACTCCTTAGCAAGAGGAAGAGCAAGGAAAGTACCGATAGCAATACCGAAAGTAATAGAGAAACCACCAATGAAATTAATTAAATTAATAATTTTGGGATCTTTGCATTTACGGGGACCAAGGTTCATTAAACCAGTAGTGCAGAAACCGTTGGTAATAGCGAACATGAGTTAATTAGTCCAAGCGAAAACATCGTTTTGGAAATTTTCTCCTCCCTTTTCATTAGCAGTCATTAAGAATAAGACATAGTAAACAAATCTGAGCATGACAACACAGTAGATGAAATATAATTTTTCTAAGGCCTTAACACTACCAAGATATTTGCCAACCAAATCACCGAAATTGTAACAAGTAATCATCCAAACTCTATTTTTTAATTAAATTAAAATTTAGTAAAAAAGATTCTAAATTTTTAAAAGGAAATGAAAAAATGTAAATGTTTAATTAAAAATAAATTTATTACGCTGCGTAGGGGTAGGGAATGATAGTGTAGGTGGGTTTTTAGAAAATGGAGACACCAGGGAACATCATGAAAGTTTAGATGTAGATGAAGACAAGGAAGACGGGGATGGCACCAGCATATTTGAAGACTTGAGAGAGATAGATAAGATATTAAATGAAAGAGTTTTGTAACAACTTGGCAACGAGTCCACTCTTCTTTGATTTCTTTTGTTGTTCAAGATTAACTTAAGACAAAGCTTATTCGGTTTTAAGTTGATTATCAGAACCGGTGTTAGCATTGTTGTTTTCAGCAGCCAACTTTTCCTTCATCATTCTGGCCATATCTATTTCAATTTCTCTGTTTTCAATTTTTGACTTGATGTTGTGTCTGTGTTCAAGAGCCTTAAAGTATTCAGTTTTGGTGAAGGCAGCTTGCATAGAGGCAGAGACGATATAAATAAGACAAGCGAAGGCGAAGTAAATTGCTGTGCAGACGTTCATAGAAGAGGGAGTATCACCAGCAGCGCCTAAGGCAATAAGTCTAATGAAGTTCATGACCAAACCAGAGGCGGCAGTGCAAGTCCAGTAAATGGCATTGATTTCGTGGGAGATCATACCAGCGAGGGCGATAAGAGAGTTGGTAACAACTGATTCAATGAAACCTTAGAAGAAAAGGAGAGTGAAGGAAATCCAAAAACCAGCCTTAGTATTGTAAAAGATAGCAATCAAAGTGATAGTAATTAAGAAACAGCAGACAGCAACAGAAAGATAAGCAATTCTTTGGTTATAGCTGAAACGACGGGCAAGAGCAGGACAGGCGAGACCAGCAAAGAAGTTGGTAATCATAATAGGGATAGGGAAATAGAAAGTGATATCGAGGTAACCTTAATCTTTGGGATACTTGGCACCGAAGAAATCGAATGCAGTAAGCATAGCATTCCAACCAGCTAAGGAGGCAATACCTAAAAAGACGAAGGTAATTTTGTACCAAAACTTGACTGGAGGAAGAGGCTTAGCCAATTCTTATTCTAATTGCTTGAACATTTCATCAATTTCAGAATCGACCTTTTTTAATGGGATTTCAGCTGGGTAAACTTAAGCGTTGCAGTTAGAGTCTTCCAACTTTCTGGGAGATTTGTTTCCCTAAACATCTTCAATAGGATAAGTTTCTTGGGTCATTGCTAATGATTTAGATTCAATATTCTATGTTGGTTATTTATTTATATAATTAGATTTATTTATTAAATTAATTAATTATAAATCGCTTAATAGTTGAGATTTATAGCAAGACAGTAAAAATTAAAGAAATATAATTGAGATGCATTGCTTTAAGCTCAAATTCATTTATTTCCATGAGCATTATAATTAATTTTTTTGTAAAATTTGGTAATAGTGCAAATCATTTAATGTTGGGGGATCACAAATCCAATAAAATCTGAATTAGCAAACTCATTTAAAAAAAGAGCAGCCAATAAAATTATTAATTAAACAAATGATAATAGGAGTTAGTATCTATTTATCCATATAATATGTTACTATGAATAAAAGGGGGATCGGTTAATCAATTGATCATATCAATTAATCAATAAAGCAATCAATCTATCTATCGATCAATCAATCAATCAAAAAACAAACAAACAAACAAAAAGGCTAAGCCAATTTATAATTATTGACATTATTGTCTAATTTTTAAGAAAGACTTTATATGAAATGTTATTGATTAAGTTATCCATTTATTATTATCCTTCAATAATGAAAGTTTACCCATTTTTCAATATAAAAATGCAATATATTTTATTTTTTAAATGACTGATGTTATGTGGAAAATATCAGATATTCAACAAAAATTTAAAAGCACGCATGTTGAAAAATAATAACCATTTATTATATAAGAAGTAATTCATTGAATTATTTTATAGATATCAATCAATCAATAATTATTACAAATAAGTGCTACTTAATGTAAAAAAATTTACTATTTATAAACATTAAAAAATTTTGAATTTGTTCGTTGTTCGGGATTAACTCCTTTAATTATTGATTATTAATCAAATATAATGAAAGAATGAATGAAAAATCGATTGCATTAATTATTATAAAATTTTGGCTGTATGCTTTTTATAGTTAATCAGTAAAAAAAATTGTTAATTATAATTATATATAATAATTTAATTTGTATCCCTCATCTGCAATTAAATTTAATCTCTACTTATTATTTTAAATCTAATACAAATTTATTTGAGCCTTTAAAGACTCATCGCTATTTTAACTATTAATTTAAAGATCAAACAATCTTTGAAGATGTTACACATTCCTTTTAATGTTAATGAAAAATTAAAAGCGTTTCTTTCCTATCAAAAATATCGTATGTTAAGTTAGCCAAAGTAAAATGAATGATGTATTTAAAAATATCAATAAGTTGCTTGGAGGTATAGAAAAGGCTTTTCTAAGCCTTAATTAAATTACGCTAGAACTGATCATTTAACAATGTTAACACAATTAAAGAGGACCCCAAAAAAAATTTTTACAAAATATAACCAATACTCAATTTGTATGCTATCTTGTAATTAAGATGAATCTCTATCAGAAAATATTTACTATTATCTAATTGAGGTTGTTGTTACTTAATATTTAATTACAAAGATGCTTTTTTTTTAAAAAGTTAAGAAGCTCTCTTTCTCTGTCTTTATTTGCTTTTTAAATTATAAGCCCTCAATTTTTGTTTACTAAATTTGAAATGTGTTTAGCTCCAAATAAATTTTGTTTTGAATAACCATTTTACGATGTATTCTAACGCCTATATTCAATACTTACTATTTGTTTGAAAAATTTAATTTGAAAAGTGAGTATTTAGAATTTAATATATAAAAAAGACACAAAAAAACATACAGGAAACCATATAAAAAAAATCTTGGCTTTTTAGTTGAATTTATGTCTTAATAATTATAAAATTGTATATTTTTATGGAAAACGATTGAATGAAAAGATTGCATTAAAAGCACATTTTATATATTTATTTATTAATAATTTTTTAATTTACTACAAAAGCATTATTTTAGCCTTGATTTTTTTATCTAATCTTTCTTTTAATTATTAAGCAGTTGATTTGAAATTTTGCATTTTCGTTAAGATAATTACAAAGAAAATCAATTATTTTGATAATTACAAATTAATTAAATGAGATATTGTTATACCAAAATTCAACTGGCTGTATTAATTTACTTTCTTTTAAATTAAGTCAAATTTTAAATTTGATAAGCATTTTATCAGATCTCGCTTATGTTTAAAATTCTTTTTAGCTGGACATAAAAAGGCAAAACTATCATTTTTGGGGCTCAACTTCACACTAAAAACATTTTTTTTAAATGGAGACCTATTGACAGGCGGACAAACAAATAATTGCAAGCTAAATATTTACTGAGAGGAGAATTGTCAAAAATACTTAACTTTTAGAAAATATTAAATTAAATGAATTCTACTACTTCTAGTAATTCATTCATTGATTGAAGTTAATAAAAAGCGATTTATTTAGACTTTATTAAATCTAATACGTCATGAGAAATACAATGTAAGATTTCTTTCTCTTTAATCATTCACTTTATAAAAATTCTAAAAAAGTAATCTTATGATATTTCTTAAATATTTATTTAACTTGACATTGAAATATATACATTTTATCCACATTATATTTCTTTTATCAATTTCAATTCTGATTTTACCATTAAAAAAGCTCTAATTGATATAAAAATAGATCAAGCACTCTCATTTGCATGCAATAACAAACAATAACAAAATAAAGCAATATTTAAGCAATTTTTAAAAGATACACATTCTTATTCTTAGAGATCTTCAATATTTTATTTAATCAATTAAGCTTTTATTTGAATGAAAATAAACTCCCATCATTTAGGTACTATCACAACATCATTTTAAAATATGAATTATTTTTCTACTAAATGATTGTGATTTGTTTATTTTACGTTTATTATTGTCTAGAACTAAATGTGAAATAAATTTTTATCAAATAATACAAAAAAAATAAATACTTAATTTCACATTCACAAAAATGGTAGAAAATCTTAATTTCATAAAGAATTTCTTTACAATACCAAAATAGTAAAAAAAAAATATTCTATCACAATTTAGCAAAAGGTTGAAATTTAGTAGCATTCGAATATGTAGGTATGAATAATTTATAAAATATAACTAAATAATTAAGCTTAACAATTAATTATATGGTTGTTTTTAAGCAATATTTTAAGATTAGAAATCCACCTTAACTTTCCCTTTTTTGTAAATCAGAAGTTATTTCGATTATTAAAAAAAAAGATTGTGAATTATAATTCATGTGGTTTGTTTCTGTTTACTATAAAATTGATTTACTTCATTCATCTGTAAAAAAAGTATAACAAAATAAGAAGAATCTAACTTGGTCTTTGCTAAAATTGTTAGCTTTTTCTACTTAAGAAATAGGCAAATAAGTAAAGTGTTGTAAACTTAGAAAAATCGTTGTCTGGAATAAAATGAAATTAAAATTAGATAGTACTCTATTTATTTATATTGGATCATTTCCTTACTCGTGTTAGACAAATCTTAATTATTTTACTTTACATACTACTTCATTTAGTTCTATTAGTTATGTGTTTATTTATATATTATTTCTTAGTAGTTCACAACTAGTATTTTCTTTCAAACAAACTATCCAAATAGAAAAATAAATCAATAAAATATAGCTATAGAAAAATCTTAACACTAAACATATTTTATAATATCTTTATTTTGTTTTTAAAAATCAAAAATCTGCTCAATATTTTCATTTTTTATTTGATATTTATCTTCATTTTATATAGAAAAATATTTGCTTCTACAAATATAGAAAAGATGAAATAAATGACTGAATTACTTATAAAGCAAAACTAATTTGCAATAATATCTTAATTTTAAATTTAAAAATGGTATTTAAATTTCATTTAAAAGCCAATAAATGGCGTAGCCGCTTGATAAGTCTTTGTTTTATTTTAAAATTTTAGAAAAATAATTTTTTGATTCGAAGATGAAGGATCGCTTAATTCTATTAAGAAATTGAAAACCTTTCGATTTTGTTTAACCAAAATGAATAAATCTAAAATAGAAATATTCTTACTTCGCATTTTATAAAGTATTTTAAAATGATATTTATTTGAATTTGGATGCTTATTATAGTTAACAAAGAGTTATGCAAAATATTATAAAAAAAATCAACCACTTTTGTATTCATAAGTTAAGGAATTTAAAATTATCTATGTAATTATTTAATTGCTTTTCTTTTTAATACAGAAATAATCTTGCCTGCTTGCCTGAAGAAGAAAAATGAAGCTAAAAGCTCTAAGCATCAGAAGTAGCAGCAGCTAATTTCTATAAAAACTAACAAATGCTCTTTTTTAAATATAAATTTATTATTTAAATTAGAAAAGGTTATTTATTTGGCGTTTAAGCAGCATTATTTTTATTCATAGTAGTTACATAGCAAATGGTGGGTACCCCTATTTATTTTTTTTAGTTAAAAAGTAAATTATTTGATATTTACTAATAAAAAATTAAAGAAAGATTCTGTCAATTTCTATCTAAACTGTTATTAATGCATCACATTTTGAAGCTTTACTTTCTTTAAATTAAAATTTCAGAATTAAAAGAAAATCAAGAATAATTTAACAAGAATTTTCTTTATTTATTGATTAATTAATTGATTGATTGAGCTTAAGGTTAATCAAGTTAAGTATCTAGACTTATTATCATATTTTTGATATTTAATGCACATTTTAATAATTGGTATAAAGTTATTATACTACGTTGTCGATGATGTTAAATTCTTAGTGAAAGCCTTCATATTTAATTAATCCTACATTCCTAATTCATCATAAGTAAATATATACCACACCATAATTTTAATTAAATACATGCCATAAAATACACTCAATCTAATTCATACAATTTCTTTCAACTTATTTTTTCTTGATAGAAATAAACTTTTGAGTTCAACAATAATAAAATGAATTATTATTCAAAACCAAAAAATATTCTAAAATAAATTATTTAAAATCCATAAAATTATTTTTTTATTATTCATTTTTTTAAAATCAATAAATTTGTGTTTCATTTTGAATTATTTAGAAATAAAAATGAATTAGTTATTTATATTTTTATCATTTCTTTTAAATAAATAAAAATGAATTATTAATATTTTAATAATTTCCTGTTAAATAAAATTATTATAAAATTAAATAAATAACTAATTTCTAAAAGTCAATTATAAACTCCTTTCTTTGTTATTCGCTACTATATTTTCATTTTATTTTGTATTTTTTTTATTAAAGAAAGAATGCTTCTTTTTTTTTGAATTAAATAGAATTTTATACTTTGAATAATGAATTAAAATGAGTAACTAGCTTAATAACTCGAATTAATCATTAAAAAAATATGTATCATTTTAATTTTCTATGATTTATAAGTGATTAGATGTCATAGTATCAACTAATATTTTACTCGTACCAATTTTAGCAATAAGAACTTATTATAAATTGATTACTTTTTGTTCACTCGTTTAAATAGATTTTTAGGATATCATGCTAAAATCATCAACTACATTAAATAGCTTTTAATTTTAACAAACTTTTGTACTCATTTCATGTAAATATATTTACATTTTAAGGATATTTTTTTTGGTATTTGGATGTTTGATTTATATCAATTGATACAAGATAAATAATATTAAATTTACAGTTAAAAAGAGAGAAAAAATTTGATAATTTTAGTTTGTTATTTTTAAAAAATTTAAAAGCATATAAAATAATTTAATAAAAATGAGAGTAATAATAATGAGGGATAAAACAAAAAAAGCTCAAATACAGCTTTGATTATCAGTTTATTATTCCAAAAACTATTTTCTACTTTATAAATAATCAAAAAAAATTTGAAGAAAAAAGGATAATTTTAATAATCGAAATTAATTCTGTTAATATTAATTTTTATTTTTATATTTGAACGATTTAAAAACAAATATGTAATTAAAATGAGAATGATATAGTCTGATAGTTAAATATTAATATATGTGTTCTGAAACAGTAAAAATAATTTTAAAAAAGCTTGCTAAAATATTATAAATTTGAAAATAAATTATTGAAATTTTATTCATTTTATGTATGAAATCAGTTTAATATAAAAATAATCTAAACATATTTATAAATAATGAAAATGTTAATAGGATAAGTATCAAAATATATATTAGATGACTTAGCAATCACCATAGAGGAAATCCTAAAAATAGAAGCAATAGTTAAATAATTTAAAAGTACAATTGTATGGACTCGAATAAAATTAGAGTAAAACTAATAAATGAACATTTTTATTATAGAAAATACCTAATTATACAAATTAAATTAAATTTAAAAGGAATTCTTATAAACTCAATTTAATCTAAATTAGTGTTTATTTTAATGCTTTAAAGCAAAAATGTATTTAAAACTCAAAAAAATGTAACATTAAAAAAATAAAGAAGTTTAATGCTAAAAAAATAATCATTAAGTTAAATATTTATTTTATTTATTTAAAGAGTTTTGTCTAAAAAATTTAATTTTTACTTTTATTTTTAATATTATAATAATTAAAATAGAGATTCGTAATAAAAAAATATAAATTTATATTTAATATTATATATTTATTTATATAAATTTATCTGATATTTAAAAATATTGAAATAAAAGTTTTCAATTACTTAAAATAATAATTTATCATTTAAAAATTTATTATAAAATATGAATTTATCATTTAATAATTTTATTAATCATTTTTTCAAACCAAAATAAATTTATTGTTAAAATTTTTAAATATTGAAAAGAAATATGAATGCATCTATATTAAGAATTCAAAATTAAAAATCAAGATAATAAATATATTTATTTATTTATTTATTTATTTATTTATTTATTTATTAATTCATTGATGCAAACATGATTTAATCAATTTGATCAATAAATAAAATTTTATAAAGATTTGCTATTTTTTTAATAAGCGAGCTGAACCATTTAGATTCAAAAAATAGATACTTATTTATAAATCATTAAATGAATAAAGGTAAATAAGAATTATTTGAAATTTAATAATTCACTAAGTATATGAAAAATGAATTTGAAAATAACAGAATTAGTATTAATATTGAAAATTAAGTTGTAGTTATTCATTGATTTTTTGCTTGTATGTTTTTATTATTAATCAAAAATAAAACAATCACTGAAGATAAATTGGTAAACCTTTGAAGAGCTCTAAAAAATAAATAACTAATTAATGAATAAATGAATAGCTTTGATTTGATTGATGGATTGCTTTATTTATTTATTTGTTGTTATTTAATTAATAAATATATATATATGTATGTATATATGAATGAATGTATGTATGTATGCATGAATCTTTATTAATAAAAAGTATATAGATAGATAGATTTCTTTAAATAAACAAGTTTGAAATAAAATTAGATAGATAGAGTAACTCTATAACAAACAATAGGAACAAATGGATTAGAAGTTAGTAGCTGACATTTTACAAGCCGAGATTTAAGTAGGCCGCAAAATTAAGTAGAATTAAAACAACTTAAAGCAATTCTCAGAGTTCAATCCTGAACATGCATTCGAAACTTTGAAGAAGTTTTACATAAACTCTTACAATTTGAATAGCTAACAACTTTAAAACTCTATGGCTCAGTCTAGGTTCTCTAATGTTCCTGGTTCAGCATACAAGGGAGTTGTTGATATCGAAAAACTCACTTTGCTTTATAGACAATATGAGGAAACTGTTTCTTCTTTTGAAATTTAGGCAATTCTTTCTCGCCATAGTGCTGCAAGTGATAAGGGAATGGATTATGATTGCTTTTTGAAGTTTATTGGATTCAATCTTGGAGATACAAAACGCAAAAACACCATTTTCGATTCTTAAGCAAGAACAGAAAGATCTTTAACTGAACGTTGTATGAAGGCTCTCTCAAGTATCTTCCTTCTTGAATTAGATTTGCTTCGTTTCACAGAAGTTCATAAAGTACTCTATTTTTTTGTTTTTAAATGATTCATTCAGTCAATATATAATAAAAGATCATTGGGTGAAAAACATGTTTTTAAAAAGCATTTTCATTCAATAAAATAAAATAATAGAATAAACTTCGAAAGCTATTCGATAAGATTGCTAAAAAATCATGAAATTTGCTAATTTTATTTGGAATTAGTTTGAGAATAATAAATAAAACATAGTAAATAAAAATTATTTAAGAAAAATAAATAAAAAAAAACAACCAAAAGTTCTTTCAATATGTCTTAAATAAGCAAATTTTAGCAAGGAATAAATTGATAAATAAAAATAATAATAAATTTTTATTAATTTGAAAGAATTTATTGTCTGCTTAATAACATTTTATTTTTTAATGGAAATAAATTCAAAAATAAATGAATAAATTGATTTATCATTTATTTACTAAAAAAATCAATTCTACAATCGTCTTAATCTATTATACTTATCAAAAACAAAATATTGCTCAAATATTATTTTACAAAAACATCAAAAATGTTTACATTTTCTAACAAAAAATATTTATTATCTAAAATAATGTTTAAATTACTTATTAACAGGTTAGCTTAGTTAATAACTATGGATTTGACTCTGCTAGCTTCTTTGCTTAAATTGATTATAGAAATCAATCATAAATTGACTTTGAGTTATTATAATAATTCTTTAGAAGAAATGGTCAAGAAATATCTCTTTAGGACTACTAAATTCTCCTTTCCAGACTCAAAAGAAACAAATAGTAGGAAAATCAGTTCATTAATCGTTAAGAATTCATTTAGTTGATCAGTCCTCAACTTCCTTACAGAGGAAAGAATTAGTAGGGTTAGTCAGTTCTTTTCCAAAGTCAAGCTGGTTAAAAGTCTTAGGTCCTAGGATCCAACGAAAAAACAGTAAGATTCCAAGACCAATCTGTTGTTCACAATATTAATCAAAGCAGCAACAATGTGTTGGCTCAATCTCAAAATGTTAATTTGATAAATTAATAACAAAGCTAAATTTTATCAGGTGGCAATACTAAGATTCTATAGTCTCAAGTCTAATAAGATGCACTTAATTCTAACTACATCTAAAATGGATCACTTGGTTTAACTTAAAGATATGAACCTAGAATGAGCTAGGTTGTTTCTGAATAGAAAAACTACGCTTTTAACTAATTTGATTAGTAGTAGCAACAATAATAGCCTTTATACAATTAACAATCTTAGATTCTTGTTTAATAACCCCAATAGGTCTTCTAATAATAACCCTAAACTATTATATAGCAATAACCTTTATTACAATCTTAGCCTATATTTTTATAGAGTACTTAGTTTGCTTCTCCTCAAAACCCCTAAGTTTTTGCTCAATAAGGAGTCTAGGGATAAGTTGGACTACCATTAATTCCTGGTTAGCAACAAAGCATCATTATTGGAGAAATTCCTCCTCCACCTCCTGGATACGTATTGGTTTAGAACCCTCCACAAACTGTATTATTACCTCCACCTATCTAGTAATAAGGATTTGATCCTTAATTTAACAATACTGCTTTGCAATAACAATAATTTTAACACCAATAAGAACCTTAAAATGATAACAGATTGCTAAATGAAAAACGCCCTAACGCTGTCCTTGAAGCTATGAATTAAATTCTCCAAAAGGATAATGATAAACTAAAAAGAGATAATGAGGAGTTACTCCAAAAAGTTTTGAAATACGAACAATACCAACAAAGAGAATCCGAGGAAGAATAAAAAAGATAAAGAGAAGCTGAACAAAAAAGATAGCAATAACAATAAGAATAAGAAGAATAGCAAAGAAAGCAATAATTCCTTCAATTCTAGCAGTAATAAAATTAATTATCCCATGTTGTTAAATTCCCTACTCATGTTACATTTGGTGTTCCTCCTAATCAAATTAATTAACCTGGCGTTAGTGTCTAGAGTGTGCCTCTAAATCATCAAATTATTTAATCACCTGTCCAATCTTAAATTTTAGCTTCTCCTCCTATGAGTCCAATTAGACTAGTCCCAGCTGCTATTCAACCTCCTGAAATCTAATAAAGAGAGTCAGTTATTGCTTAGTAACTTATTTCTTCATAACCTCCTCAACCTTAAGCTCCCACTTACATCCTCGATCCTAAATAGGTACCTACATATGTAGTAAATGATCAACCTTTTATAGTCAATTAGCAACCTACTTCTTAGTTCGCTCCAAATTTATTACCTAAATACAACCCTCAAAATCTCGAAATCAGAGAGGCTATAAACTAATAATTCCTTCCTCCTTTGCCATTCATCTAGTAAGGTTTTAGCACTCATTCAAAAAATCAACCTGTTTAGGATCCCTATAATGGATAGGCTGTTACCTCTCACTATCCAAACAGATTAAATTATTGATTGATCGATTGATAGGTCTTATTAAAACTAAAATTATAAATATCAAAATTCTCTCTCGATTAGGTTTTATTTTAATAAAAAAACTGACTGGTTAATATTTCCAATTCTATATATCAAAATATTACATTTTATGTTAATTTTTCATTTTTGTTTTTAGCTATTTTTCATTTAGTTTGAATATTCCTTAGTAAATTTTCATCACTTTTGTAATTAAATAAGCAATTTTTAAAAACATAAATACATACTGTAAAGAATACTTTTTGATAAATGATAATATTTATATATTTGTATGCAAAAAAAGTTTTTTTGATATTTTAATTCATTTCTAAAATACTAAAATAAAAGATCTTTATGCAATATATTTAAGGTGTATAATAAAACATACATATATATATATATATAAATTGAAACATATATAATAATGCAAGAGAGAAAACAAAAAGTAAATATGTTTGTTTGTAATTTAATATAAAGTGTAAATTTATTTATTTATTTATTAATTTGTTTATCTTTTATATAAAGTATATTCTTCTTATGATAATCTTAATTCAGTAATCCTAATTTCTAGGAAATCTATGGTTTTAATATTTATAATAAGTGAATAAGTAAAAAATTTAAAATGATTTTAGCTTATCTTTAAGTTAAAATAAAATTTAATAAATTCTAAAAAAATAAAAAATTGATATAAAAATAATTGGTTCTTTCTTTCTTACTTGCTAAATGGTAGTTTACTATATTGTTGCTATTAGTAAGGGTTACTAGAACCAAAAGGCGTTTAATACATTTGACCATTAAACTAATTTGGTTAGCCAAAGCCTTAATTGATAGGTGTCAAAGTTGTTATTCGTTAAAATTTGAAGACACGATATTATTTTCCATTTGGAGGTAGGACACTATTGAGTAAATTCAAGTTTTATAGTGACAAATTCTTATATAAAATAGGAGTTTGTTGTACCTATTGGTATTATATATGTTCACATTATTAAAAGCTACTTTTTTATGTTTAAGAATTATAATTAGTTTGCTATTGTTATGAAGCACTTTTTTTAAACTTTGATTGACTGAATTCTTCTTTTTTTGGTAAAACAAGTTTACTCAAACAACTAACATCAACTTTTTAAAAACTCTTTAACTTTTAGATCAATCTAAGAGGTTCAAGCCTTTCTTATTTGTTAAAATTTACCATATAGCTTACTATTTTCTCTATAAAATCATAATTTGGATGACTTTATATAGAAGGAATGACATCAACTAGCAATGAAGTTTTTAAAAAAATGATTTATTCTGGTTTCAATTATTCTCCAAGCATGCATTATAAGATTACAACTCCTATAGAAAATACGTCTGCCTAAATTAATTTTATCAATTTACTTTAAAATAAAAATAATCTTTAAAACTTACCTTTATCGTGTAAGGCTTATCTCCATTTGAGACTTCAGGAGACATATATATTAAGTTTCCTTATAAAGACTAATTATTAAGGATGTTAATTATTTATTTAATAATTATTTAAATATTTATAAAATACTGAGTTAGTGTGATCTAATAATGGGTCCTTCAATGAATGAGACTTTCCAAAATCACCTTTTATAAAATAGATATCATTTTATTGATTAGATTAGCGTATTAGAATAATATATTAAAAATTTATTAATTTTTTACATAAAGCAAAGGTTAGCTTATTTCTACTAAATAATATATTTTATGGCTTCACATCGCTATGTATTATACCGTTTTGATGAAAGGTAAGTAACGCTTTTAGTAATTATTCTGTCAGAGCCAATATTTGCTAAAAGGAAAGTTTGTTCAATTACAGAATCGTTTTCAAATTACCTAGTTTGATATATTAATAATTCATACTTATGTATTAATGATGTAAATTACAAATAAAGAATAGTAAAAGATGTTGGTAACTTACAATCATACAATTCAGTGACAATAGCATACATATTTAAGTCAGGGTCAATAATAGTTGAAATTATTTGAACAATTTAATTTTCTCCTTAAAGCTTCTCAAAGATTTAGATTTCTTTTTCAATATCTTAGTCCTCATCATTAAATATTTTGACCGCAACTTCAATTTAATCTTCATTAGAGTACGCCTGGACAACAACTGAATAATCACCTTTTCCTAAAAATCTCTAAAATTAGTAGTTGTTATCCTAAAGAAAAATTTTTATTTCTTCAATGTTTGGTAAGTTATTTTCCATTTTATTGTTTCTTATTCCTACACAATTAATACTATTTAAATTACCTAAAAAACTATGAATATTTATTTTTTGATTAATTTTAAGCTGATTTATTTATTGTATTTTCAATGAAATATCTATCTAAATCTCTATTTTTGTAATTATAATGACTTTGTATTAAGTTGAATATAAAATATGCACTTATTTTGATCAAAAATAGATTGATATTTAAACTTTGGTTTTTATAAAATTAAAAAAAAGAGAATTAGTTAAAAATTATCATAACCTGATTTAAAAATTTTATGATTTTAATTATATTTGCTAATTATAAACAATCATTCAAGTTAAAGTATTAATCTGCATGACAATTAATTAAAAATTTATGTTATTTACTAAACAGACCAAATTCATTAAAGCTTATTAGTCATAAATTGGAATATTAGGTTTGATTTTGCAAAATAATTCCTTCAAAAAAATGATTAATTAATAAGGTACAATCACAAAAATAATAGAGAAGTACAAAAGTCAAAATAACATTTATAATATAGTATGTAATGTTGATTCGTTTCTGAAGTCGATTCGATGATGAACCATTTTTTATAAAATTTTTTAGCTCTATATGATATTATATTTTATACAGCGTTTCTGATTTCCAATAATCAAGGACGACCTATATATTTTTAAGTATATATTTTAAATACAAATATTAAGATTAAATAATTAATGTTAAATTAATTTTTTTGTAATATCTCTCCTTAAAAACTAATTTATTAATTAATATTTGATAATTAATGATTATATTTTATTTGTTCTTTTTATCCATTTATAATTAAATTCCATAAATTGCTTGCTATTCAATATTTTTGAAAAAAAATAAATGAAATAATAGATTTATTATTACAGAGAATTAGAAGAGGTAATTATTAATTTTTTTATTCATATCCTTTAAATTTATTTTTATTATTTAAAAAAGTTTTTAAACTCTTCACTTTTATCTCATTAGATTCTCCATGTTGATCTATAGTACATTTAATTTATAAATATTTTTTTATTATTATATTAACATTTTTTAAATATTTAACTTTCAATTTATTTAAAAAAATAATTTTACTAATAGAAATTATCATTATTATTCATTCATTCATATTAAAATAAAAATATGATAGCTATTTAAACTTAATTTTAATTTCAATTTTTAATTATTTATTATTCTTTTTTTATTATTTGATATTTTTTCTCCATTTTTTGCTTTTAACATTTACACTCTATAAAAACAATTTATTTGTTTTGTATTGTAATGATTTTAATTATAAAAATTAATTTAAAACATTAAAGCTCATTTAACTTATTTTCTTTCTTTTGCTTGTTTTTATTTTCCTTCTTTGTTAATTTAACTCGTTATTTTATTTTCAACTTTTGTTTTTATTATTAATTAATTTATCTTATTATTTCATATTTTTATTCATTTTCTCCTTCTAATTAACTATTTAATTATTTATTTTTTCTTCTATATTTAAAAAGTGACAATTAAATTGGTGATGAAAGTGCATCAGTCTTAGGTTCTGCTTTAGCAAATTGCATTAATCTCTAAAATTTGATACTTAGTCTTTAGTAAAAATAGTTTATTTTTTTGGATTGTGATATTTGTAATTATAAAATCTAATTTAAAACAATAAGCTCTTTTTTCTTTTTCTTTTTAATGTGCTTACTTGCTTTTTCTTTCTTTGTTAATTTAATTCATCATTTTATTTTCAACTTTTGCTTTTATTATTAATTAATTAATATTATAATTTCATATTATTTCTTCATTTTTTCCTTCTAATTAACTTTTTAGTTATATATTTTTTCTTCAATATTTAAAAAGTTACAATTAAATTGGTGCAATCGGTGCATCAGGCTTAGGTTCTGCTTTAGCAAATTGCATTAATCTCTCAAATTTGACATTTGGTCTTAGGTAAAAACAGTTTTTATATTTTGGATTGTGATATTTTTAATTATAAAAACTAATTAAAAACAATAAAGCTCTTTTATCTTTTTCTTTTTATTGTGCTCATTTTTTTTTCTTCCTTCTTTGTTAATTTAACTCTTTATTTTATTTTCAAATTTTGTTTTTATTATTAATTAATCTTGTTATTTCATATTATTTCTTCATTTTTTCCTTCTAATTAGCTATTGAATGATATATTTTTTCTTCAATATTTAAAAAGTAACAATTAAATTGGTGATGCAGGTGCATAAGGCTTAGGTTCTGCTTTAGCAAATTGCATTAATCTCTCAAATTTAACACTTGGTTTTAGGTAAAAACAGTTTTTTTATTTTGAATTGTGATATTTTTAATTATAATAATAAAGCTCTTTTTTCTTATTCTTTATATTGTGCTTGCTTTTTTTTGCTGTTTATTTGTTAATTTAACTCATCATTTTATTTTAAACGTTTGCTTTTATTATTAATTAATCTTATTATTTCATATTTTTTCTTCATTTTTCCTTCTAATTAACTATTTAATTATACATTTTTTCTTCAATATTTAAAAAGTAACAATTAAATTGGTGATGCAGGTGCATCAGGATTAGGTTCTGCTCTAGCAAATTGCATTAATCTATCAAATTTGACACTTGATTTTCGGTAAAAACAGTTTTTTGTTTTAGATTGCGATATTTTTAATTATAAAAATTAATTGTAAACAATAAATCTCATTTTTCTTTTTATTGTGCTTGCATTTTTTTGTTCTTTATTTATTAATTTAACTCACCATTTTATTTTCATCTTTTGTTTTTTAATATTAATCTTATTATTTCATATTATTTTGTCATTTTTTCCTTCTAATTAACTATTTAATGATATATTTTTTCTTCAATATTTAAAAAGTTCTAATAAAATTGGTGCAATGGGTGCATCAGATTTAGGTTCTGCTTTAGCAAATTGCATTAATCTCTCAAATTTGACACTTGAACTTTAGTAAAACAGTTTATTTGTTTTGTTAGGATTGTGATATTTTTAATTACAAAAACTAATTTAAAACAATAATGCTCTTTTTTTTCTTATTATTTTTATTGTACTTCCTTTTTTTGCTGTTTATTTGTTTATTGATCTCATCATTTTATTTTCAACTTTTACTTATATTATTAATTCATTTTATTATTTCATATTTTATCTTCATTTTTTCCCTCTAATTAATTAATTAATAACATATTTTTTCTTCAATTATTAAAAAGAAGAAATTAAATTGGTGATGCAGGTGCATCAGGATTAGGTTCTGGTTTAGCAAATTGCATTAATCTCTCAAATTTGACACTTGATCTTAGGTAAAAACAGTTTATTTGTTTTGGATTGTGATATTTTTAATTATAAAAATTAATTTTAAATAATAAATCTCTTTTTTCTTTTTCTTTTTCTTTTTATTGTGCTTGCATTTTTTTGTTTTTTCTATGTTAATTAAATTCACCATTTTATTTTCAACTTTTGATTTTATTTTTAATTAATTAATCTTATTATTTCATTTTATTTCTTCATTTTTTCCTTCTAATTAACTATTTAAAAAGTAGCAATAAAATTGGTGATGTAGGTGCATCAGGCTTAGGTTATGCTTTAGCAAATTGCATTAATCTCTTAAATTTGACACTTGATCTTCGGTAAAAATAGTATATGTATTTTAGATTGAGATAATTATAAAAACTAATTTAAAACAAAAAAGCTTTTTTTCTTTTTCTTTTTATTGTGCTTATTTGTTAATTTAACTCATCATTTTATTTTCAACTTTTGCTTTTATCATTAATTAATTAATCTTATTATTTCATATTTTTTCTTCATTTTTCCTTCTAATTAATTATTTAATTATATATTTTTTCTTCAATATTTAAAAAGCATCAATTAAATTGGTAATGTAGGTGCATCAGGCTTAGGTTCTGCTTTAGCAAATTGCATTAATCTCTCAAACTTGACACTTGAATTTCGGTAAAAACAGTTTATTAGTTTTGGATTGTGATATTTTTAATTATAAAATGAAAATAAAACAAAATATCCCTTTGAATTTATTTGTGAGCTTTGATTTTATTTTTTTTATTATCTTTTTTATTCCACAAATGTATTTAATTTATTCATTTAAGAAATAATTTTTAATTTAAAAGTTTATCTTATTTAATATTTACTTAAATTTTACACAAATTTATTATAAAAGTTTTAAATAAATGAATGAATCATAAAAATTCAAAGTAAAACGCAAGTGTCTGAAATCAAAAAGATTAGTTGTCTTTAAAAAAAATTTATGATGATTAACAAGTAGCAAAGAGAAGATGAATAAGTATAACCAAATGCCATTCAAAAATTTAGTGATTTGAGATCACTATTTTTTTGAATGGCTGATGTGTTTGAATATAATTTATATAAAAATAAATAATTTTATAATTGAATTTAATTATCAATATTTATAATTTTAATTTATATCAATCAATATTTATAATTTTCAATCAAATTTTTAGTTTTTGATTTTCATTTATTTTTTAACATTTTTTAAAACCAGGAACGGCTATATTTAATAAATCTTCTATTAATTAAAATTTGATTTGTTAGATTGATCTTCAATCTATTGATATTTTCATTTTCAAAAAATTTAAAATTAAATTAATTCTTTTTTATACTTTCTATTGTTATTTTTAGTATTTTAAAAGTGTAACAGTTTTTGTTCAAATATTAAAATATTATATAAAGACTAATCATTTCTTGAGAATATCTCCATATAATTTACATACATTTTTATAATTTTAATTTAATTATTTTAAATATGTAATCATATTAATTTAATGCACAAAACTCTTGATGAGCTTGGAGATGTTCATATTTAGTTAATTAGTTAGTTATCTAAACTACAAATTTGATTTTTAGATACCTTCTGTGAGTGAGATCAATTAAATCTATGAAATAAATTTGATTAAAATTTAAATAATAAGTATACTTTAAATTACCCAATGAAATCTAAACTTTACTAAAGATTTATTTTGGAATTTAATATATTTTAACAAAATAGTAAAGACTCCATAACATCGTTAGCAATTTCTTAGTTGCAATTATTAAAGCTATTTTTAAAAAAATTAATTAATTTAATTCTAAAACAAATTTAGTAAAAAAATAATCTTTAAATTCAATTAAAAATATTCTAAAAAATAAAAAGATTAAAAAATATTTTAGTTAATAATTTTTTTGTTATTTAATTAATTGATTAAAAATACCTCATGTCAAGATCCAAATTTTCTATACTAATGCACTTTAGTAAAGAGTTTGATATGCAATTAATTCCATCATCATCAATTTGATTCTTACTAAAATTCATAAAATATATTAATTTTTATAAATAAACTCCATTATCATAGGAAATTTCTATTTAATTCATCTTTCTAGCTTCTAAGAATTAATTTTAATAGGAATTGATAAAACAATTATTTACGATAAGTTAAGATTTAAACTTTAAAAAATTTTAAATGCATCTAAAGTAGTAGCTAGGACCTATACTTCATTACTACCAAGGGTCATAAAACGTTATGTGAAAGAACTTCTAATTTAAATAAATGAAAAAATATCATAAAAACAAACTATAATAAAAACCAAAAAATAGACAAATTAAATATAATAAATACGTCTGTAACTAAAGGAATAAATTTGATAAATTAAGATTCAATGAAGTAATGTTTCGGCATTTTTATAAAGCACTTAGAATTTTTTTAAGCCCTTCTGGACCAATCTCGTTTTAGCTGTTTAATAAAAAATAAATATTTTTTGTTTGTTTATTTGACAAATTATTTATTTATTTGTTACTTTATTAAATAAAATTGAAACATGAAAATTAAAATAATATTTATATTTATTTTGGGGGGGAGTTGGGAGAGGGGGAATTTAGATAGTCTAAAATTTTCAGTGGGATGAATGAGAAACATTACTTTTTGATAAATTATTATACTGATAGATTAATTAATTTGTGTATTTGACTCTCTAGTGAGGGTAATAAGTATATTTTTACTAAATATGAATTATATTAAAGTTAAATTAATTATTTTTCAGTATTTGTTAGATGTTATTTTTTTAATTTTGTAATTACAATAAATTTGATTAAAATTAATCAATTTATGTAAAAGGTTACAATTTTTTAATTTTCTATGTTCTATACTTTTTATTCAAATTAATTCATATTTTTTAGTAATGATAATATATCATTAAATATCCCTAACTATCTAAAAATAATAAAAAGCAATCAATGAAGTAACTTGAAGACTTTAAAA